TGCGCGCAGGCCAAAAAGCTTTCATCACCTCTCAGGAGACCCAGAGGGCTCTTCAGGCCCAGATAGATCTTTGGCAAGCGGAGCACGGTGATTTCTACGCCTCCGGCATTGAGCCCTCTTTTGATCCTCTTAAGGCCCGTGTGTATGACTCTTCCTGGAATTGGGCCCGTCAGGATGCTTTGAGCATGTACTATGATATCATCTTTGGCAGACTGAGGGTCATTGATCGTGAAATCGTGAGCCAGTGTATCCGCATCATGAATCGGTCGAACCCGCTTCTTCTTGATTTCATGCAATATCACATTGACAATTGTCCTACTGATCGCGGCGAGACGTATAAGTTGGCGAAAGAACTTGGTGAGCAGCTCATTGAGAACTGCAAGGAAGTTCTCGGGGTTGCCCCCGTGTACAAGGATGTGGCGATCCCCACTGGTCCCCAGACAACTGTTGATGCCCGAGGAAATATTGGTTATAAGGAGGTTCCCCGAGCCAGCGCCCGCAAGCTGGAGCACTACGTGAAACAAATGGCGGAAGGCGGTCCCATTTCCGAGTACAGCAACCGGGCGAAGGTGCAAAATGATCTTCGCAGTGTCTACAAACTCATCCGCAGGCAACATCGGCTGTCTAAATCTTCCCAGTTACAATTCAATGCGCTTTATAAAGAAGTCATTCGTGCCCTTAGCATGAACGAGAACCAAATTATGCCTCAAGAGAACGGCAATGGGAAGAGATCGAGCCGGTCTGGTCAAAAGTATAACGGCAGCCCTCGAGCTGGCAAGGTCGAGACCATTCCCTTTCTACATCTCAAGAAGAAGACCGAGCATGGGTGGGAGTACAATAAGAAGCTCACTGGTACCTATCTTGATGTGATGGAGTCAGCCGCGCGGTCAGGCCTTACATTCCAGGGCAAGAACGTTCTTATGACTGGTGCGGGTGCTGGTTCTATTGGTGCTGAAGTCCTGCAAGGCCTGATTAGCGGTGGTGCCAAGGTGGTTGTTACCACAAGCCGTTATTCGCGTGAAGTTACGGAGTACTATCAAGCAATGTATGCCCGCTACGGTGCCCGTGGCTCACAGCTTGTGGTTGTCCCATTCAACCAAGGTAGCAAGCAAGATGTAGAAGCCCTTGTCAACTACATATACGATACGAAGAAGGGGCTCGGCTGGGACCTTGACTATGTTGTCCCGTTCGCTGCCATCCCAGAAAATGGTCGGGAGATCGATTCGATCGATTCCAAGTCGGAGCTTGCTCACCGCATCATGTTGACCAACCTTTTGCGGCTCCTAGGCTGTATCAAATCTCAAAAGCAGAGCAATGGCTTCGAAACACGACCGGCCCAGGTAATTCTTCCCCTATCACCAAACCACGGTACATTTGGGAATGACGGCTTGTACTCCGAGTCCAAGCTAGCTTTGGAGACGCTCTTCAACCGTTGGTACTCGGAGAGTTGGAGTAACTACCTTACCATCTGCGGTGCTGTTATTGGCTGGACTCGCGGTACGGGTTTGATGAGTGGAAACAACATGGTCGCGGAAGGAGTTGAGAAACTTGGCGTCCGCACTTTCTCTCAGCAGGAGATGGCCTTCAATTTGCTGGGTCTAATGGCTCCTGCAATTGTCAATTTGTGTCAGCTTGACCCTGTTTGGGCCGATTTGAATGGTGGACTACAATTCATTCCTGATCTAAAAGGCCTTATGACGAAGCTCCGTACCGACATCATGGAAACAAGCGACATTCGCCAAGCGGTCATCAAAGAAACTGCCATCGAGAACAAGGTTGTCAATGGAGAAGACAGTGAAGCGCTGTACAAGCGTGTTGTTGCTGAGCCTCGAGCCAATATTAAATTTGAGTTTCCCAAACTTCCCAGCTGGGACGAGGAAATACAACCCCTCAATGAAACTCTCAGGGGTATGGTCAACTTGGACAAGGTTGTTGTTGTTACCGGTTTCGCTGAAGTCGGACCTTGGGGTAACTCGCGAACCCGCTGGGAAATGGAAGCTCATGGAAAATTTTCTCTTGAGGGGTGTGTGGAAATGGCATGGATCATGGGGCTTATCAAACACCACAACGGTCCGCTGAAAGGCAAGTCATACTCGGGCTGGGTTGATGCAAAGACTGGGGAACCAGTAGACGACAAAGATGTGAAGCCAAAGTACGAGAAATATATCCTTGAGCACTCTGGTATCCGCCTCATTGAACCTGAGCTATTCAAGGGGTATGACCCCAAGAAGAAGCAGCTGCTCCAGGAGATTGTCATTGAGGAGGATTTGGATCCATTCGAGGCCTCTAAAGAAACTGCTGAAGAGTTTAAGCGAGAACATGGTGACAAAGTTGAGATCTTTGAAGTTCCTGAGTCGGGAGAGTACACCGTCCGTCTCAAGAAGGGCGCCAACCTCCTGATTCCCAAGGCTCTCCAGTTTGACCGCCTTGTTGCAGGCCAAGTGCCAACTGGCTGGGACGCTAAGCGGTATGGCATTCCCGACGACATCATTGAGCAGGTTGACCCTGTGACTCTGTTTGTTCTTGTCTGTACAGTTGAAGCGATGCTGTCGGCCGGTATCACTGATCCTTACGAGTTCTACAAGTATGTCCATCTATCTGAGGTGGGTAACTGCATCGGCTCTGGAATTGGAGGAACCCATGCCTTGCGAGGAATGTACAAGGATCGGTACCTAGACAAGCCACTTCAGAAGGATATCTTGCAGGAGTCATTCATCAACACTATGAGTGCTTGGGTCAACATGTTATTGCTCTCCTCTACTGGACCTATTAAGACGCCTGTTGGTGCTTGTGCAACGGCTGTGGAGTCCGTTGACATCGGATACGAGACTATTGTCGAAGGAAAGGCTCGCGTCTGTTTTGTTGGTGGTTTTGATGACTTCCAGGAAGAGGGCTCATATGAGTTCGCTAACATGAAGGCTACTAGTAATGCTGAGGACGAGTTTGCCCACGGGCGTACACCGCAGGAGATGTCACGTCCCACCACGACCACTCGTGCTGGCTTCATGGAATCGCAAGGTTGCGGTATGCAGCTCATCATGAGCGCTCAGCTCGCACTGGACATGGGTGTGCCGATCCACGGTATTATTGCTTTGACAACTACGGCTACTGACAAGATCGGTCGCTCGGTTCCTGCACCCGGTCAGGGTGTCCTTACGACTGCGCGGGAGAACCCTGGCAAATTCCCATCGCCCTTGTTGGACATCAAGTACCGCCGCCGGCAGTTAGATTTGCGCAAAAAGCAGATCAAGGAGTGGCAGGAATCTGAGTTATTATATCTTCAGGAGGAGGTTGAGGCCATGAAAGCCCAAGACTCTGAGTCGTTCAACGCGTCTGAATACATGCACGAACGAGCCCAACACATTGAGCGTGAGGCCGTCCGCCAGGAGAAGGATGCACAGTTCAGTCTCGGAAACAATTTCTGGAAGCAGGATTCCCGCATTGCTCCTCTGCGTGGCGCTCTTGCCACTTGGGGCCTCACTGTTGATGACATCGGCGTTGCTTCCTTCCATGGTACCTCCACTGTTGCAAACGATAAGAATGAATCGGATGTCATTTGCCAGCAGATGAAGCATTTGGGCCGTAAGAAGGGTAACGCAGTCCTGGGTATCTTCCAGAAATACCTGACTGGACATCCCAAGGGTGCCGCCGGAGCTTGGATGTTCAACGGGTGCCTGCAGGTTTTGGAAAGTGGCCTAGTTCCTGGCAACAGGAACGCTGATAATGTGGACAAGGTGCTCGAAAAGTTCGACTACATTGTCTACCCCAGCCGCAGCATTCAAACAGATGGCGTGAAGGCATTCTCAGTCACTTCTTTCGGTTTCGGTCAGAAGGGAGCGCAAGTTATCGGTATCCACCCCAAGTATCTTTACGCTGCTCTTGACCGCGCACAATTTGAGGCCTACAAGGCCAAGGTTGAGGCCAGGCAAAAGAAAGCGTATCGGTTCTTCCACAACGGTCTGATCAACAACAGCATCTTTGTTGCTAAGAACAAGGCGCCATATGAAGATGAGCTTCAAAGCAAAGTCTTCCTCAACCCTGATTATCGCGTTACTGTTGACAAGAAATCTTCCGAGCTTAAGTTTCCTGCAGCTCCCCCAAAGGTCGCTAGTAAGGGAGTTGAAAGTACAAAGCAGGTAGTTGAGTCGCTGGCGAAGGCTCACGCTGTTGAAAATTCGAAGGTGGGAGTAGATGTGGAAAACCTGGAGTCTCTCAATATTGAAAATGAGACGTTCATTGAGCGAAATTTCACTACTGAAGAGCAGCAATACTGTCGCAAGGCAGCCTCACCCCAAGCATCATTTGCCGGACGGTGGAGTGCGAAGGAGGCTGTTTTCAAATCCCTTGGTGTTAGCAGCAAAGGTGCCGGTGCTCCATTAAAGGACATTGAAATCACTAGCGATGCAACAGGGGCCCCGGTTGTTAACGTGAGTCTACCCCTGTCTTTGTTTTCCTGTTAACTCATGCAACTAACATCTTTTACAGCTTCATGGTGCTGCAGCCGAGGCGGCCAAACAGGCCGGTGTGAAACAAGTCAGTGTCAGCATCAGCCACAGTGATTCTCAAGCAGTAGCAGTAGCCGTGTCCACATTCTAATGGTTTGATGAGCAAGCTGGGCTAAAGTATATGTATTTAAGTATAGATAATTCTTCATTTCATTGTTGCTTAATCCTCCCCTGGCATAGGTCACCACATTCTTCTTGGAATTAGATTATCCCCGGCTGTGAGCCTATCAGGTATAATAAGTTAATAACCTCTTCTGAGGTGCTACTGACCCACATCATTTTTTCCGAATCAATTATTGCGAACTCTGTCTCACACTAATCGACCAAGCCTATATACGTTTTTCCCCCGCTGCCCCTTCACTTGTCTTACGCAAATGATACATCTAAGGTAATTAATTAGAGTAACTCTGACACACATTGCCACGGATTATTCTATTCCATAAAGAATTCGCTACTAAACAAGCCACACCGTCGAATACGGGACGACATGGATTCTCAGCTCTGCCCGCGCCCAGACGCTCGATTTAATGGACCCCAGTTAGCGCGAGGGTTGATTTGATATCTGACGAGTCGTTTTTTGGTCACTTCTCTGCCTAGAGATTCGTCGAAAACAACATCTAACGTGCTGGTATTAGATTTTATTGTAAATGTTCCATGTGCTTGGTTGGTGCCCTGAGCCTCCTGCATATTGGCAGCTCGAGAATCGGACTCGTTTTGGTTCAACGCTTGCCAGAAGCCAGAACGATATAGCGCGGCTTCGACTTTCGTCACTAAGTCAGAGATATCCTTCCCATTTTCGGCAGCAGACACGATCTCTTTCCTCAGCAAACTTAGATTTTTGTCGCCCTCCTTCGGCTTCTGAAGGTCTTCCCGGCTTTTCGCCATGATAGCAGCGCCGGCAGTGCCAGGCTTAATGGCATTTTCTTTGATAGGTGATTTCTGCCTCACCCATTCTCTCATGATCTCCCAAATCACATCCCAAGGTGCATCTGTGCGGATAGTATTGGGTTTGGTGTGACTACGGGTACATTGGTAACCCAGGTGTCGCACAGCTCCACGGAAAGCATCGGAAGAGATGGTAGATGTATGAAGGACTTTTGAGAGAGCACTCAGACTGAAATAGAATGGATACGGCTCTCGAAGAGCCGGGTCCATCCGCGGAATAATAGCTGGATCTTCATTTAGTGCAGCATCCTTAGTCTTGGAGATAGTAGGCTCTAAACTGGCACTCCTTATAGAGGTGTTGGGAATCAAGTCCTCCTCAAGTGCTGTAGTTAACATGCCTTCGATCCTGTCTACCGTTTGATATATGCTTCTATCCGCCTCAGGAAGCATATCGAGAACCCTTCGGATGAAGTGAGGGTTATGGAGTGGCCCCGCCCACATTGGGCCGCCTATGTGAGTTTTCATCCCACAGTGCGCACAGGTCATGTTTGCCATCGGTCCCTGGGCGAATCCGTAATGATAGAAAGGGTTCCCTTTTTTATCCAGTCGTGGCTTCGTTTGGGTCAAAGGCTGTGTTGACCAAGCTCCACAGCCTGAATCACAGTTGTAAACAACCATTGTATTGCCAGAGGCAAACTTAACTTCTGCTGGTGATCGATGAATGCGGACAAAGACTCGGGCGTAAAAGTCGATTGACAGAGATAGAAGTGGCTCGATAGCCAGGCCGTACTTGGCAGCTGACACCGCGAGTGCGTGAAGAATTAGGCGTAGCCCACCTTCATGGGAATGTGTACCTTTCGTTGGCACGCCGCCATACAATGCGTATGATTTTTCCGGGTACCCGTTGGATGCCCAAACCCCAGCATCGGTGCAGGTCACGCAAAGCAGACCCCCATCCTTGACAGCCTGTAGAGCAGAGTCCATAAACGGTGCAGCCGTCCCATAAGGATCCAGATCAATAGTATCAAACTTCCCAGTGTGCGACCCACTGGCCTGAGTGGTGGCTTGGTTAAGAGTACTGTACATGTAAGTCCGCGCATCACCGGTGTTAGGTTGAATAAGCTTTCCAAGTCCGTTGTATTCGATGTTCAACTTCATTGATTTGATAGCAGACGGCGAAAGATCATTCGCAACCACGCGAGTAGCAAATGGAATCTCTGATGCATATCGTAGTGCACGCAAACCCGTAGCAGACAGAGCATCTAAAATTGTAAATGATGGCGTGGTATGTTCTCCAGCGTGCGATTCTGAGGCCAGATGATCACTGCTTCGTGTCTGGTTGTCAATGTTGTTTCCCTTACCGTTTGGTTCCTCTTCATCGCCATCCTCCCTCTTCCGTTTCTTGCCTTTTAAATTCCCATCCGCTGCACCCCTTTTCTGCCTCCTTTCGGCTCTCCACTTCTTTGAAGCCAGCACATGTTCCCCATAGGCTTTTATCGCAAGTACACTCAGGTCACGATTGAATTGCTGGATAGGATTGTAGAACACAGACTGAGCTTCATCCTCGGCCTTGAGGTTTCTTCTTGTTCCTGTGGAGGCTGCAGCCTGGGAAGGTGGGTTCAGAATGAACGCATTCCCTTCTTTCACTACGTGATATTCTTTGCCGTCATACTGAACGACTTGACTTAAGATACCAGACGCTGGTTCTGCCTCCATGTTTGATAACCGTGAAGAGCAATATCGTATAGAAAATGGGGAGCCTGGGGCAAGCTGGGACGTTTTAGGTCGAGGGAATGTCAGAGCATTGGCCCGTATAAAGTCGAAGGCCAAGCGAAGTGTCGAGATGCGGTAAGGACCCCAGAAGCTCAAGCTCATCGGCTCCGGTGTAGAGAGCCCAATTCGTAAGGCAACAGAAGTGTTTATCTTGGAACTGTTGGTTATAAGTTTGGTCCGCGGCACAGAATGAACGAGGGAGAAAAAAAAAAAAGACCAAAGATCGGAGATAACGCACGGACCATGATTAATATCCAACTCAATCTCACGTGGAGTATATACCAACAACATACGGAGTACATACATGTCCATATTGTTTGGGAAAAGGAATTGCCTCTTTGTCTCTTAATGGAGCTATCAAGCAAGTTTTGTTATTTACTACGGTATTGTACATACATGAGTTTCGACAGAAGAGCTTGCCTCTCCCTTCTCCTCCCTATATAAAGGGTTGTGTGCATGCATAAAGTCCGAACTAGTTTCCAACCACACACCCATTTCATAGCCAGGGCCCCAGAATAGGTACTTGTTTATAAATTTTATTCCAGCCACTGGCCTCCCAGCCCGAACCCTGGCCTCCACGACCAACTATTCCCAGAGCGCCCGCGAGCCAGACAGCTGTTTTTACCGCGGCAACGCCATTGACCACCCACCGCATTTTCCTCTTTCTTTTGACCTGCTCTTCGCTTTCCGTGTACCCCAAGTAGCATTCAAGTGAGCCTTTCTTACAACCTCGCCCCTTCTGAGCCGTGGTGACCCTCCAACCCATCCAAGTAGCCCATCCTCCAATGATATGCCACATACCAACAGCGGCAAGGACCGCATAGTACACATTCCAAAAGACAGGGTTTCTTGCGAATCCATGAGCCACATAACCCAAACCCACTCCCGAACTCCCACCATCGACGATTAAAGGCGTGACACGGTTAACGAGGACATGAGCGCCAAGGAACGGAACAAAGCAGTACCCTAGACGCGCTTGCAGGCTCATCCGCGGCCAGAAATTCAGGGAGTATCTCTGGGCCCTAGTCTCCGCCCCATACAGTCGTGCACGGCGAGAAGAACGAATATTGCGGAGAACAATGCCGGAAGCGATATGTATTAGGATGGGAACGGTCAAGACCACATGCTCAAGCCCCGGAGACTGGTAGATGGGTCTCGTAAGAAGCAGATAGGTTTCACTATCTCGAACCGACCGAGTTGCTAGAGGGAAAAGGGAGGTGTTGGCGAAATGTAGCGCAAAGAATAAAGTGGGGGGGTACGTTGAGTATCTCTGAAGTGCGGATACTAGAGCAACCCGACCGTTAACTCAAATAGAACACAAAATATTTAACAGGACATACACCATGAATCCCAGTTATGTCCACGGAGACCTAGGCTGAACGGAGGCAGCCCGACTTCTGATCTATCCCCAAGCTTTGCTGGACGACCTTGTGATTGAAAGACGTATTGGCCACTTTCGAGGTCGGGAAATTCATCCTGCACTGGCGAGGGGTCCAACTCCTGCATAGAAATTGTTGAGTGCGTATCGATGTCCTTGGGTTTTGGCGAGATGCTTTCTTTGGAGGTCATGATGATAAGATTGAATCCCGTCAGCCTTTTGCAGGTAACAAGGCGGACTGGGGGAGCGAATTGTGTGTTTTTTTTTTTTTTTTCCCTACTTTTTGCCTCTATTTAATCATCTGAACAGAGGTATCATCAATATTGCCATGTAGGAAATGGGATATAATATTCTTACAGTATTTCATCACTTTAATCCATGCTTCCAACAATGCAGCCATTACGATTGGTTGGGAGGTTACCGGTGGGGAAGCTTAGCCTATATAGGAAGGTCCTACTACATACTCTAGCTGCTGGTCTGCATTCATCTTTGACCAACCTTCTTAGGCACAACAACGTCAGAATACCCCAAGACATGATTCGTTTGGTCGCCCTTTCTCCACCCCCATTTCACTGAGATTATCGTTCAAATACACATTGTTTTTCAGCATACCGAAATCCTTCATTCGTTTCCTTCACACTGCTGTGCACTATAGCAAAATGGCACCTGTATGTCTATCGTGTTACAACACCGAGACCCTTTGAAGCTATATGGTGGAAGATTCCGGTGTTGATGAGCTGATTTTCAATCAAACCAGCGTGGCTTTACCAATCCCGCCCCCAAAGTATGGCTCAATCCAACTAATGACCCGCGAAAGCTTGGTCCCTCTTGACTAATTCACGAGCTTCGTTAGACCGAGTCTGCTCGCTCCGCTTTGAGCTCCTTTACCTGTACACTCTGCAACAAATCCTATTCGCGACATCCCGAGTATGAAGCACATATCTCTTCCTACGATCACCAGCATCGCAAACGCCTTCAAGACCTTAAACAACTCTCCCGAGACCCAAACGCTGCGGAGAAAGCTAGGCGAGCGGAAAGGAGGGCTGACGCAGAGGCTGGCCTAAGAGTCATTGATACAAAAGCCGGCGCAGCTGTGGGAACCGGGGGCGGGGGTGGCGGAGGTGGCGGAGGTTTCAAGAAAGGGGGGTTCAAAAGCTCCTTTACAACTGTCAAAGGTCCCGTCGCTCCGACAGCACCAACGAAGAAGAACGTACTTGGGGATGATGACGACGAAGATGAAATCCCAGAAACTACTAATATAAGCCAACATGCTCAGACTACCCAAGACTCAAGTGATCATCCTGATTATGCAGAAAGTGACACGGATGCTGAATACGCGAGTGATGCAATGGGTAATGCCTACTATGATCCCCTTAAGCCGACGGGCTGCTTCTCTGGTTGTGTCAGCACCAAACATATACCCATAGGTGCTGCTGCGGTCAAGGGGTAGGTACAGTCGCCACGAAGATCATCGAAAAAGGGTTGGCGTTCTTATTCGGACCAGGGATTGTTTGCCCTTTTCTTTTTGTTGTTCTACTTCCTATTTTTTTAGAACTTGCAAGGGCCGTAGGATAATCATCTGTAGGTGCCAGGCGTACTACCTAGTATGAATACCTTGGATGATACTCAAAAGTACACGCTTTCGTACAAAGCTTTCGGATACTCTTTAGGGATCCGATAGAATTCCAGATGCCACGATACCACCATCCGAGACACGAAACGTATCTTGAGAGAATAGTATGGACATATTATATGATAGACCTTGAAAATGCAAATAAGGTTGTTCTTTAGTATAGTCGTACAGATTTCCAACGCGGGAATTTAGCGGTAAGCCCCGCGAAAACAAAACAGAAAAAAAAAAAATGTATGCAACGATAAAAGGGTACTAGACACAGGGTGATTACTCAGGTTTCTTTATCTCCTCCACTTCTCATCTCAAACCAATTTACAAGCGTAGGAGCTTAGTGGCCTGGCCAAGGATAGTGTCTACCTGAGGGAAGCTCATCTGCTCAAGACCGACGGCGTAAGGAGTAGGCACCTCAGCGCCGGTGACACGAACGGCGGGGGCAGTCAGGTAGTCAAAGCCATACTCCATGGCTAAAGCCAGGATTTCTGAGGAGACGCCGAACATGGGGAATCCAGATTCGACGCACATGATGCGGCCCGTCTTCTTGAGCGACTGAACAATTGTCTCGACATCAAGGGGCTTAACGGAGCGGAGGTTGATCACCTCGGCTTCAACACCGTATTTCTGCTTTAGTTCAGCGGCAGCGTTCAGAGACAGTCCCACGCAGCGAGAAAGAGAAACAATAGTCAAATCCTTTCCGGGACGTTCAATCTTAGCCTTGCCAATAGGCAAGACAAAGTCATCCTTCTGAGCGGCCTCGCTCATGGGGAAGGCTTGACCATACAAGAGCCTATGCATTGTTAGTTTAAGATATCCCACGTCATCATACTTGCTCCAGTCACACATACTCGTTCTCCAGAACAACGACAGGGTTGGGGTCGCGAATAGCAGCCTTCAACAAACCCTTGGCATCCTCGGAGCTCCACGGCGAAACAACCTTCAGTCCGGGAATGCTACCGTACCAAGCCGAGTAATCCTGTGAGTGCTGAGCGGCAACACCAGCGGCGAATCCATTGGGGCCACGGAAAGTGACGTTGCAGGGCTGAATACCACCAGACATATAGTGGGTCTTAGCGGCAGAGTTGATGATTTGATCAATAGCCTGCATGGCGAAGTTGAAGGTCATAAACTCGCACTAAATTTTGAAGCTGCTTGTCAGTTGACAGAATGCCTCCGGCGGTCAACAGTTAAGTATCTGGTCGATATGAACTTACAACGGGGTGCAGGCCAGCAAGAGCAGCGCCAACCGCTAGACCGCAAAAGCCTGCTTCTGTGATAGGCGTATCAATGACTCTCTTGGGGCCGAAACGGTCCAAAAGACCTCTTGTCACTTTGTAACTATGGGGGTCAAGCGTCAGTGATGGACCCAAGACTCGACAGAGTTTCTTTCAAGGGATAGCCATACGCTCCGTTATACTGTGCGACCTCCTCTCCCAGGATGAACGTTTTCGGGTTTGTCTCCAATTCCTCCGCGAGAGCTTCGTTCAAGGCATCACGAACAGTGACTTCCTTAACACCACCTTCCGTAGCATAGCCCCGGAAGCGCAGGATGGAGGGAGCGCATGCCGATTGGGGAAAGGCCGGACGGCGAGGAGCAGAGAGACGCGATGAAAGCAGACGAGCTGCAGGGCGGAAAAGTCGGGGAGCAGCCATGGCCGGGCTTAGGGACATATATATCAGCAGAAGAAAGGAGAGGGTGTTCACAAGGACTCCACGGCGAACGGATCTACAAGTGAAGTGAGAAAGGAAAGAGAGAAGATAGATACCGGAGCGAAGGCTTCGCAATTCCGTTGTTTCGGGACTTGGTCGTCAATCTAATGGGGATTTTAGTTTTTGGTGAGCATTTCGAGAGACTGTTGGGTTGAGGATGACTAAGCACAGGGCGGTCCTCACCGGCGGCTCATTCCGTAGCAGTGATAACAGATGTGATAACGCTGGACTCCGTACTCCGTTCCTCTCCTCGTGTACTGCCATATTCCTCGACTCCTTCCTACCGTTCGCCCGTTCATTCATTATTATTGTTATGATAGTAAGAAGGATGATCTACGATCGATCCTACTCCCATGTTCTCTCCTTCTTTGCCCTCGTCGCTCCCATCCTCGCTCGTCAACCGTCCGCTCCGGAAGCCATCGTGGCCCCTTTGCGTGACCTGAAATGGGGACAACTCAATTTTCTCCATACTACGGATACTCATGGCTGGCTAGCCGGTCATCTCCAGGAGTATGTCCATTGATCTGGACATGAATTCCACTGCGGATGCCAAATGATACTGATTAGACCCACTATAGGCCCTCCTACTCCGCAGACTGGGGTGACTATGTCTCCTTCACCACCCGGATGCGAGAGAAAGCGGAGGCACAAGGGCAGGATTTATTAGTTATAGATACGGGTGACAGGGTAGAAGGCAATGGTCTCTATGACTCGTCGGAGCCGAAAGGCGTCTATATCTCGGAAATTCTACGGCAACAGCATATCGACCTATTGTCGGCCGGGAATCATGAACTATACAAACAAAATACGTCGGAGGCTGAACTCTTCACTACAGTCCCTAATTTCCACGGAAACTACCTAGCATCTAACATTGATATAATACATCCTTTGACCAAAGAGACTGTGCCATTGGCTCCTCGGTTCAAGAAATTCATAACCAAGAAGCAAGGTATCCGTATCATTGCTTTTGGCTTTCTTTTCGATTTCACAAAGAACTACAATAACACTATCGTTCAGCCGGTGGAAGAGACTATTAAAGAGGATTGGTTTCAGGAAGCTATCAGGGACAAGGAAGTTGATCTCTTCTTAGTGATGGGGCACGTTCCTGTTCACTCTAAAGAATACGATGCTGTCTTCAAGGAGATCCGGACGATCCGTTGGGACATGCCTATTCAGTTCTTTGGTGGTCATTATCATATCCGTGATTTTGCCAGATACGACTCTAAAGCGTTTGGGTTAGCAAGCGGTCGGTTCATGGAAACAATTGGCTTTATGTCAATCGATGGCCTAATCAGTAGCAAACAGCTCGTAAAGCCAGCGTCGACAACCCCAAGCTTTCATCGAAGGTATATAGATAATAATCTTTATTCCTTTTACCACCACACTGGCCTTGACGAGGAAACCTTTTCTACGGAGAAGGGTCGGAATGTGTCTCGGCTTATCCAGCAGTCTAGGAGCACTCTTGGGCTCGATAAGGTACATGGCTGTGCCCCTCAGGATTTATGGATGTCGCGTGTCAAGTATCCGAGTGAGAATAGCATTTATACTTGGCTCGAGCAGCAGGTGCTGCCCAACTCGCTACAGGACAAATCTCGCGCTGGCAAGCCGACTCTTGCCATAGTCAACACTGGCGCCATTCGCTTTGACATATTCAAAGGTCCTTTTACTCAAGACTCAATATTCATGGTATCTCCTTTTACCAGCGGTTTTCGTTACGTTAAGGACATTCCTTACGGGAAGGCCACTAAAATAACTGAGATCTTAAACAAACAGCCTCAGGTTTTGGCCGATGCTGACAACCGATCCGCCATCACTGGGGGACTTGCGCCCCCAGAACAGTCAGTTTATTCTTCTGATTTAATTTTTGATGATAGCCTCGCCCTAGGCTCCACGAATTATCTCAGAGACCAAACGTCGTTGCTGAGGAACGATCACTCCAAACCCAGCATTATCCCTGGCTATACTACGACAGACGATGAGGGCTCGGATGGCGATGACACAATTCATTCGTCCATCTCGTTCTATCGTGTCCCCAATTGCGTCCAGGCTCTAATCTCTCCGAAAGTGTCCGCGGCTCCAGAAACAGTGGATCTCGTATATATTGATTTCATAGAAACTCATGTGGCTCTAGCAGCCAGATTTGCGGGGCTAGATATAGACTTCGCCCAGAACAGTAATGTGTACATGCCGGCTACGAGATTAACTGATCTGATCTTGGATTGGGTCAAGGACAATTGGAGTTGTAAGGAAGTGTGAAGTATTGCGAGAAACGGCCCTTTCTACTGTCGTTTATTGTATCTTAGCTCAATCGTTCTGCGCGATTGTGGGCAGACACAAGCATTGTTTGGCCTATGACTATCGTAAAATTTCAGTCTCCGCCTTCGTACTTGAGGAGGCCCTTTCCACTGCGGTAGCCACTCAAGGTTTCCTGCACGCCAGAGGTGAGCGCCGCACCGTCTGTGTCCCATGCCCATTTTATTTCCTCCACGGGGATGTCTTTGAATTTGCCCGCTCGAGTCAGCTGTAGCACATCGTTGATAGTGTTCTCTTTGAGTTCGGGATGCTTATCCCCCCATTTGCTCACCCAAAATCCATCGAAGACGAGATTCTTAAAGATCAATAGTCCGGAAGGTAGGGAAACCGGCTGCTTTGACATCGCACCGTAGGTGACCAGGTGGGAGCCTGGAGCGAGGGCCTTCGCCAATGCGGTGGCGTTCTTACCACCCACACAGTTCAGAGCAAGTCGGATCGGCTCCCTTCCGTTGCGAGTGAGGCCGCTCACAACGTTCTTGAAATCTCCTGAAAGAAGCTCCGCTTCTGTGACTACTGCAGTGGCGCCTAATTCATGAAGCTCAGCCTTCAGGACTTCTGTATCCTGCGGCGTCTTCCTCTCCCGGATGACATTGATCGTCTTGATACCCCATTCTCGTGCGAGTTGAATGGCAGCGCGACCAACACCACTGTTTGCGCCGTTTTGAATCAGCCATTCCTCCCCACCCCGCATCCAGTCCCATTCACAGAAGTCCTTGATCATGCGGTAAGCTGTGACTGGATTGACGCTGACTGTGCTAATCTGGAGCGGTGATAGACCATCTTTGTTCTCAATTTTAATCAGCTGTGACTCATCCATCTGAGCGTGTGTGCGCCAGGTGCCCTGTCCTGTCTGCTTCATGACAACCCAATCACCCTTGCTGAGGTTCTTGACATTGGATCCTGTCGCAATTACCTCAAATGCGCCCTCATTTCCACCCACTGCGCATGGGTCCTGGGTGCCAAGGGTTGTCTGGAATGGCGGTTTGCTCGGATACACTCCCTGGATCTGGTTCACGTCGGCGGGGTTCAAAGGCGCTGCAAGGAGGCGAAGAGTAACCTGGGATCCGTGCGGGGGGGAGATAGAATGCTTGTGGAGGCTACAGATGAGCTGGTTAGGCAAATTTCATTGTTCTCACGTCTCAAGTAGTTGATTTATGTGAGCCCCCGGCACCACTTACCGTAGAACATCTTTGGGTTCACCATATCGTGAGTACACGAGTGCTTTTGATTGTGTATAACCATAGACTGAAATGTGCCTTTTCCCAGTCCATGAGCGAGGCGGTGTTCCTATAGCAGGAACAGAAGCGGCTTCATAAGCTTTCCAGAAAAGGGACCCATGGTTGCGAGAGAGGGATCGCACTACACTATGCGAGAACATAGTATCAGTTGTTATGGTCCGCCGGTTACTGAGAGAGCGAAAAGGTAAAGGTGTGAGGGAAAAGAGTGCGGTGCAGCTCGAAGAAAATGAATGAAATGCCGGGTGCGTTAAATGACGTCGTTCCTTTGACTCGGGCCGACGGACGCTAAACATGAACCGGCGTTGGACATTTTCCTCTGTTTACTTCTTCGAAACAGTCGAACCTCGGCTTCCTTCTCCCACATAAATTCACTCTAAATGTCCCTTCTGCGGGAGGCTGAGAAATGTATTGCTAATCAGAAGTCTCATGTTGCCCTCAATGCCTTCATAACTGCACTACAGCCTTCGGGGCAGTGGCGGGAAAAGGTGAAAGATGCAGACATCAGAATGGAGCAAGGTGAGTTGTTGAATCGCTATTAGACTTTTATCGATACTGACTTTGCTTTGCCTTCTTCCTTCAGGGATACCCAGATCCAAGGTAGACGGTCGGTTGATTGCCATCAAAGATAACATATGTACATACGACCTTCCGACAACATGCGCTTCCGGAACCCTCGAGAAGTTCGTAAGTCCATTTAACTCCACCGTCGTGGAGCAATTACAAGATGCAGGCGCTGTAGTTGCCGGAAAGACAAATCTTGATGAATTTGGCATGGGTTCTCATTCAGTCTATTCGCGATTTGGGCCGGTGAGGAGTTTCTGGCAGGGTTGCGATGCCGAACCCCTCTCAGCCGGTGGCAGTTCAGGAGGGAGCGCAGTTGCAGTCGCCACAGGCCAATGTTATGCGTATGTTCTCTTCTCGGCCTCTCCGCCAAATAGGTTCACTGAATAACACAACTGGTAGCGCGTTAGGTACAGACACTGGAGGGTCTGTTCGCCTTCCGGCTGCATACACTGGGACAATTGGTTTCAAACCATCTTATGGATTGATCTCGCGATGGGGTGTAGTCGCATATGCCAACTCACTGGACACGGTTGGGATTCTAGGGAGAAGCACAGCCAGCGTTCGCGATGTCTTCAGTACGTTTCCCTACCTTCCGCATGTTAGGTCTTACTCTACGCGCGGGTTTTTAATGCGTCTTCAGATATTGTGAACCAGCACGATCCGCGCGATCCTACTAATCTCTCGCCATTATCTCGCTCACGAATAATTTCATATCTCCAGTCACCGTCTTGCGCATCTCGTCTAACCTCTGCCCCCCTCAGAATTGGTGTTCCCGCAGAATATAACATATCCGAACTTCACCCTGCTGTCCGACGCGCTTGGTCCCGCACTCTAGCTTATTTGCAACGGCAAGGTCACAGCATTCATGCAATATCCCTACCGACGACGAAACTAGCACTGTCAGCATACTATGTGCTGGCTCCTGCCGAAGCTTCTTCAAACTTGGCCAAGTACGATGGCGTCAGGTACGGAACTCGTCTCGGGGTTCTAGACTGTGATGGACGGTTGCAAGGCAACCTATACGCCAGTACAAGGGGACACGGATTCGGTTCTGAAGTCAAGAGGCGTATTGTTCTCGGGGCATTCAGCTTAAGTGCTCATGCTAAGGACAATTATTTTATTCAAGCTCAGCGTGTTCGACGCCTCGTCCAACGTGATTTCGATTGCATTTTTCAAATGAAGCAACCGTTGGCATCGCCCGAGACGGACCTTGAAAGAGCGCCGGAGCACACTGGTGTAGACATTCTCATATGCCCAACTGCCCCATCGCCACCCCCGCGCATATCCGACCTGATAGATTCGGATACTGGAGCCTCGCCCTTGGACGCATACATGAACGATGTGTTTACTGTCCCTGCTAGTTTGGCTGGTCTCCCAGCCATATCTGTTCCGATCACAGTGAGTGGCGAGAAACAAGACTCCAGCGAAGCGTGTTTGACTGGTATTCAAATTGTCGGTCAATACGGAGATGACCAACTCGTGTTGAAGGTGGGGGAGTTACTCGAGAACCAAAAATTATAGGTCCCATTGCTATGCGTAGATAATCTGAGCTAATAACACGGTGTACATCCATTGTTCATTCAGTTGTGCAAGAAACCACGCTTTGACTTGTGTCTTGGGTATCCGTGGGACTATACGAGATGTAGCTGGAGCATGGAAGCTTCATTAAGATCTGGTGCTTTGTTTGCGGTGACTTATCAAACCAGCGCATTCCGAATAATGTACATTAGGTCCAAATTTCCGAGACGCAAAAGGGACCATTCCCTATTGAATGAGGTGGCGGAAAGAAGGAGTGCCCTGCGATATGCACAAAATATGCCAATGGCCCCGGTGCGGCCTAACGAAGCAAGTTGGATGAACATGTTGAGTTCAAGACATCTCGATATCATGGCCCACGGTGATATTTTCAGGCCCAGCAGCGGGTTCCTCTGTATTCGGTGTACCTACTACACCAACACTGGCCGCATCTTCGAAGGTAGAATGTCCGGTACCTACATCAGGGGAGCCTACATTGCCGACACTATTCTCCACAGGGCCTGTAGAGACGGCAGATTCATACGCAGCCCCCACACCTCCCTTAAGAACCTCCGAGCCTCCGACCGCACCAGTGCCAGTGCCATCCATCTGGGCATTGCCGACGACATCACCGTCCACCCCGCCCCAAACGAGCATCGCCTCGACCTCATCAACGATATCAGCAACAACATCTTCGACTATCTGCTCGTTGAAGCGCTCTCCAATCCCCCGAATCAACTCGCCGTTCTCTGCTTGAGGGGGTCCAATCCACCAGGGACCCTCGAAGCGGCACTCAACCGCACCACCGCCGTAACAACTGACAGCAGGGTAATATCCGATCATCCCGTCGTCCGCGTTCTCACGCTCGCCAAGACCTAAGTTATTGGTCCCATTCGCAAGTCGGCTGGCCGGTGGAAGGAAAGCATACAACTCTTTGAATGGAGTACCCATCTTTACGCCATTCTTAAATATTGTGATACTCGAACCCGGCAGTGTACGCAAAGATGCATCCTCGGTGTTCATCGGTGACGGTGGTCCGAATGTAGGAGTTTCTTTAAGATTGAAGGCGTAATCACGCAACTGTTTTGTGGGGAAAACATTGGATTGTTGCCAACAGAAGTCAGATTTGTAGTGGAAAGGGATCCGATCCCGGATAACATTCGCAGCCATGGGGAGCTCTATGCCAGATGTCGAAGCATGGCCATCGGTGGCAGGGTCGTAAGTTCCTTCGACGATTCTCTTGTGGAGCGAAAGTGGAGGGAGAGTGATGAGCATGCCGATGACATCCCCTTCGCGGATCGACTCGCCTTTGGGGAAAAAGTACTCGCAGCGCATCCGGTTGACCACCTCGCCATTCACATCGCGGATTCCATAACCATAACAGTCTACTCCGACGTTAACATCCAAATCCGCCTCCCTTCGCGCAAAACCAAGACGGACATGGCCTCTTGATGGCAAGCATGAGTTTCCGTTGGCAGGCACTGTCTGCGGGTCACTCAATACACCGCTAATGATGCGCGCCTCGTAGTAAAAGGTTCCTTCGCGCGCACATACATTAGCGCGCGCGGTGTGCCATGGTCCGTTGGTAGTAACGGCAAGTGCGTCTTCGTTAAAGAGTATCGCTGCCGGCGAATCCTCAAAGCTGAAGCGAGCAGTATAAGGACGAACATCGGTCTGGCGGTATTTTATATGTGGGAAGCCAGTATCGGCTATGGCGTAGCTATAGCGGAACCCATTTTTATTTGTAAGCTTGTCAACGACTTCGTAGAAGCTCCAACTCTGGCCAATTACCTCTGATGTTTTCCGACTCACTAAATTTAACTGGCGAGGTTGTGGGGGTAGTAAATCGGACGGCCTCGGCTCAGCAAGCAGCAAAGGTCTGAGAATATTCAGGTCCGAACTGGGAAGAGCGGTATTTTGAACAGCAGTTGCTCTCTTTTTGGGGGGCACGATCTCCTGATCCAATCCCTTAGCCTCGCGCTTTTTACGACTGTCGCGTTTGTTGCGTTTGGACCTTGGACCGTCAGCTTGCGCTGACGCATTGCTAGCAGGCGCAGGTGATGATCTTGTATTCGTATCTGATAGAGGTCCATTGAAAACCGGTGTTCCACTAGGAGGCAGGATCGGCGAATTTATATTCGACGAGGGTGCGGAAGACCCAGCCGGCTGTATAGATGCCATAGCTGAATTTGTTTTGTGGATGAGCTGCCCAAACAGCCAAAGCAATTGTGAAAAGATGTTTCAATGGTCCTGGCTCCTACCGTGCAAGATCTTTGGCTTGCTGCTTATTGTGATGTTACAAACGCCAAGGGCGAGAAGACAGACTCCAAGCGCTCGCAATAGAGGAAGTTGGCTTGGCAAAGATCCACGAAGTTGACGATTCCCCTTCGTTAACTGGAGACAAACATCGATAATAGAAACGCCGGCATTCACGAACAGGATCCTGTGAGGTTTGAACAAGTTGGAGAGTCTGCGATAATGTAATAGTTGGGTCAGACTTAGGCACAGTACATTTGAGAAGGATACTGTACAGGCAGGATTGAAAGTCTATATATCCACAGATAATAGTAATGATGAATTGACAGAGTCCAAGCCTATGCCGACTCACCAATCTGCTTTCTCCAACCACAAGGGTCAGTCAATGGGTATTATTATGCCTTCCGACCAAGTTTACTAGAAGAAAGCTCTTATATGATAAGAGGTCAAAGGAACTTGTGAATAAGTAGAAGATCAGCAATAATTCATTATTAGGGAAGCTGGTTATGATGTGACAAGCACTACCAACAAGGAACAATCAACAGTCCTCCCTATGAATCTAAACGTGAATGGAAGAAACAGTCGGGTCTCGTGGTCGAGGGCGGTCAGCAAAAATATCTTGGGCAGAAACACGATGTTGGTGGATTTACTTAGATGGAGGGGCACTGGGCGGTGAAAAGACTGACCATTAATCATGCTGAAAATCAAAGCGGTGAGCTTAGCACGCCCACTTTGAATACTAGTCAGAAGAAAAAAAACTGCTTTGCAAAAATGTCAAGATCACATGATCCAGAAATTTACACACAATTTCAATCCCATGTCGAAGCAGAATTATACGATCATTTAGGCGGCCAGGCTTTTATCATTATTTATTATGGTATAGCATTCTTCAGCTACAAGTCCTAACTTCACCATTATCTTTGGAAGTCATTCACGATGCCCAAAGCCACATCATCTCGCTCGGCCGCTGTTGGCCGTAGACACAATCCTCTAGCTGAAGATATCGTGACTACAGGCCATTTACGGACCCATTCCAGCAAAAGTAGCAAACGCAAGTTGCGATCCGACGAAGATCAAGATGATGGTGAACGTTTCATCGATGCAAAAATGTCTCGCAAAATCTTGCAGATTGGGCAGGAACTAGCGGACGAAGATGCTGCTGAGCAAAGGGCTTCATTGGGAACTACAGCAATGAAAGATAATACGGCATTTGATTTTGAATCTCGATTTGAGGATGATGAGGCTCTTTCCGATGACGAAAAGTTTCAGGATGACCCATGGGGTGATGAGGAAGAAATTGAGCAAGTGGTCTGTTTCTGCATTAAGACCCAACAGCCTGTCTATGATTAACGTCTCATGTAGGAGGTCGATCCAAATGACCTTGACATGTTCCATAAATTTGTTCCCGGTGGCGACGAAGATCCTATATTCAATCCTAGTGAACAGGGCGCTGGTGGTCAGAGCACAAATCTAGCCGATCTCATCCTTGAGAAGATTGCCGAACATGAAGCAAAGCAAAACGGAGATAACGGTCCCTTCATCCAGGGCGGAGGGCTGCCGGAAGATGCAGTTCAGATACCAGCCAAGGCAGTCGAAGTATATGAGAAGTAAGCATGAATATCACGTCCCCTATATAAGTTTAAATATTGATAGGAGCCTAGAGTCGGTATGATCCTCTCCCGCTACAAATCCGGGCCACTTCCCAAGCCTTTCAAAATTCTTCCTTCTGTTCCCAATTGGCCGACTCTCCTTTCTATCACTCGACCGGAGTCATGGACCGCCAACGCTGTTTATGCCGGAACCAGGATCTTCATCTCATCGAAACCCATAGTTGCCCAGGAGTTTATCTCAACAGTACTCCTAGATCGGGTTCGAGAAGAAATCCACGAGACTAAGAAGCTCAACGTGCATACGTACAACTCATTGAGGAAGGCACTATACAAGCCCGCCTGCTTCTTTAAAGGGTTACTGTTTCCCCTTGTCTCTAGCGGAACTTGCACGTTACGCGAAGCACATATTGTCTCCTCGGTCATTGCCCGTGTATCCATCCCGGTGTTGCATTCCGCAGCCGCTTTGTTGCGCATGTGCGATCTTGCTGCGGAGCAGTCTCTGAGGTCACTGGAAAGTACCGGCGCGGTGAATATGTTCATTAGGGTGTTCTTGGAGAAGAAGTATGCTCTTCCTTACAAAGTCATTGATGCGCTAGTCTTCCACTTCCTACGGTTTCGGGCGAGCGACAACGATGAGGATTCAATGATGACGAATGGACGTTCACGAGACACCAACAAAGCGTATAAGCTTCCCGTTCTTTGGCACCAGTCACTCTTGGTCTTCGCACAGCGTTACCGCAATGACATCACCGAAGATCAACGCGAGGCGCTTCTGGACTTACTCTTGGTGCGCGGGCACAAAGATATTGGCCCTGAAGTCAGGCGGGAACTGTTGGCTGGCCGAGGTCGAGGTGTTGTCGTGCCTGATCCCGAGAAGCAAGGCGCCCTCGACGCTGGAGATGATACGATGGACGTTACCATGTAGATGTGTATACATTGATGAATATTTATTTACTTATTTCCTTCACCCCTTTCTCGTCTGACTTCATCCTATGGTTTTGATCTTGAGTCGCGATCTGGATCGGCGTTAACGTGGCATGATGTCTTTTCTTCATTTTCTTCAAAATTTCTCTTGGTTTTTGTATATATTCCCATGGTATCAAATGAATTATTGGTTTAGTGCCTATGATATTGGGGACAAGAGTAGACTGTAGGACGAATTACCTAGAATATAGGCAAATGGACACTGAACGGTTGGAAATGATTGGACATAGATCACCTTTAAAACCTTCTTAACCAGCGAGGGGATAGAGGCATCTTACCTCACTTGTCTCTTCAGAGTTTATCTTCCCGACCTTAGAACAAAGGCATGACGGATGCAATATAAATATGTAAAGGCGAGACTAATACAGAAAAGGATAAAGTAACAAAAGAAATAGCCGCATCCCTTGCAATATGTACATAGAGATACATGTCTTTCACCTCGCATACCACACCATAAATTTGGTATGCCTTCCGTGGCACTAGATGGGTCTTCTCTACTCAGCTATGCGCGTACCTAGACCTACTACGAGTCATATTGCATGGCTCAATTGAAAGGTAACAACAAGGACCGATTAAGTGCGTGGCTGAAAAAAGGGAGCAAAGAAAGGCGAGGGGATTCCGGTACATTCCATCTTCATTGTTACAGGGCGAATAAACACCTCACGACTTTAAATGGATGATCATTCAAACCAGTGGAGCCTTCCCAATGAAAGCTGAAGGAGTGTGTCCACATTCTAAACAACATAGTAAATATGAAGGTAAACTCCACAAGGAAAGAGGACAGCAATAGCACTTTCCTTGTTTGGGCCCGGCAGGCGGAGTACTCTCGAGAGTCGAACAGATGCATCGGAAGAATTTCTTTTTTTTTCTTTTCTTAGAAAACGGTAACTAGTACGGATACAGATGAACTTGATGAGAATCCAATAGATACGGGGGCAGATCACTCGTGTTCCAACTTTAGAAGTTCAGGCGCTCCAGGAGTCCAGGCAGCGGCGTCAACTTCAGTCTCACCTTCTGCCCCCACATAAGCGAAAGGCCCTATTGGGTATTCTGTATCAGACATGGAGGCCGAGACCTCCAAAAGGGGCGAAAAAAAAAAGGGGGCTCCACCCCTGTGAGAGGTTGTAACTTATAACTTGTCGCAAATAAAGAGGATGATGGCTGTGGGCTGGACGATGACTGGTCGTTCCAATACCTTAATAATAAAGATTACATATGTGGTACCGGTTCGACGGAATGTGTCAAGGGAATCCGCCCCGTGTCCGGTATTAATCATGTAATGGTACCGTCATTTAGGCTGACGACCATTGACTCCGCCCCCTTGCTGCAGGAGCACCGCGGTTGAGACCACGTTGGCCTTTTAAAGAGTCAACCATTCCCCCAGCCCACCTCGAGTGAAGACACTCTGGCCTTCACAGAACTTTTACCCTCATTTGGTCTTGGACACTTGTCCTTTTCAACAATCACACCTGCGGTTACTGGTACTGCCTCCACCTTAATTGAATCGGAGCCTAGTCTCCGCTCATTCAACCGTTATGACACCGTGGCCTCTGACCTTGTGATTTGGGCCTGTGGACGTGACCTTATTCCATCTTTCCGAACAAGACGTGCTCTGATTTTCCCCTTTTCGACTCTGGTAGAGCCAATACATTACGCGTTATCTAGAGATACGACCACCATAAAATCGTCATGTCTTGTAATATGGAGAACACGATATCTTCGGTGGATTCATTGCCCACCACCCCCGCATCGGAGGTACCGGTGCTAACGGTCTCCCCGGCCGACACATCGTTGAATAGCGCAGATGTGAAGACACAGGAAGTCAAGCCGGAAGAGAAGAAGCCTGCGAAGAAGCGGAAGTCGTGGGGCCAAGAACTACCAGTTCCCAAGACCAACTTGCCTCCGAGGTATGTCATCCTAATTTAACAGATGTCCTGGGCTGATGGCTGACATGGCAAAGGAAACGTGCCAAAACAGAGGATGAGAAGGAGCAGCGTCGTATTGAGCGCGTCCTTCGAAATCGAGCGGCAGCTCAGACGTCCCGAGAGCGCAAAAGGCTAGAAATGGAGAAGCTGGAGAATGAGAAAATTCAGATGGAACAACAGAATCAGTTCCTCCTCCAGCGGTTGTCTCAAATGGAAGCAGAGAACAATCGCTTAAGCCAACAGCTTGCTCAACTAGCTGCTGAGGTCCGCGGTTCTCGTGCCAACACTCCAATGCCTGGTTCTCCAGCGACAGCATCTCCTACCCTTACACCTACCTTGTTCAAACAAGAACGTGACGAACTTCCTCTCGAACGCATCCCTTTCCCCTCTCCCTCTCTCAGCGATTACTCCCCTACCTTGAAGCCTTCCACTCTGGCTGAGTCCTCCGACGTGGCACAACATCCTGCAGCGGTGTTGTGTGACCTGCAGTGTCCGTCGCTGGACTCGAAGGAGATGGAAGCGCCCTCCCACTTTTCGACCTCGGCTCAGACCTTAAACATCACCCTACAGATGACGTTGCAGCTCCTCTTTCTGACGATGACTTCAACCGCTTATTCCACGGTGATTCATCCGTTGAACCAGATTCTTCTGTCTTTGAAGACGGGCTTGCCTTTGATGTTCTCGAAGGAGGAGATCTATCAGCATTTCCATTTGATTCTTTGGTTAATTTCGACTCCGAGCCTGTCACCCTCGAAGGCATCGAGATGGCCCACGGGCTTCCGGATGAGACTACTTGCAAGACTTCTAGCGTGCAACCCAGCTTTGGCGCGTCCACTACGCGATGCGACGGGCAGGGCATTGCAGCTGGCTGTTAGCGATGATTTCTCTCGAGGAAGCATGTCGGTCACCGATACCCAGAGGAGTTGGTGGAGCTGTGAGTCGCTGCTAACCTTATTATGGGCGATAGACCGACTTGAGAACCAGGGACGACGCAGACGAATTTTACATGGTTTGAGAACATCGCAGGTTGATCGGCGCAATAATCTAGGGAAGCGTCAGAGGAGTATCCGGAGTTCATGGAGTTCAAATAATACTGAGACGTTGACGTCTCCGCTTACGGGCAAGAATTGCTGAGGCGCTTTTCATCTGTACAATAATCTTGAATGATCTCAAATAAAGAGACCGCTAGCGACTGAGCGGGTTCAGTCCAAAGTTTTCTTTGCTCTATATATCTATATGTACAGTTTTGTAGCCGCAGCGTAGCCATTTTGACTCGGCATGATTCTCTTGTAGGCGACGAGAAGTGCTGTCCTTTGATCCTTGGAGATTGAAGAACAGGGCATAACGTAGGAAACTTTGTCATGTTAGCTTGTAGCTATTAATGCGGAAATCCGGATGACGTTGCCACGCAAAAGGCCCCTCTATTCTTGATCCCGATAATGAAATTGAACCCATGTTGCCTCCCGCTTTCCCTTAAGGTTTCTTCTTGGTCTTTCTTACATCTCTCTTTCAGCGTCTTGACTTCTTCTTCTTTCCCCCTCCTGCCGCAAGCAATCATTACCGGCTTGCTATAGTATATATTGCCTTTGAAGCCTACAGACCGACATTATGGTTCGGAAGGATCCAATCTTCGAGGCACGTACTAATGTCAAGGTAAGTAAATTCGCGTCTTTTATACCCCCTCTCCCTTCCTTCTAGCCCCTCACCGTTCTCTTTCCCTGCCCGTTGGCTATAGTTCTCGATACTTTTGCTTTTTTTTCTTTTTTTTTTTTTTTTATAGTTGACTAATCTGGCTTCCCTGGTTAACAGCTACACTCCAACCGGCTCAAGAAAGAGGCCACTCGCGCCGAATCGACTTTCAAGTCCGAGAAGGCAAAAGCAGACAAGGCCATGAAAAATCGCGAGTTCCAAATCGCCCGCATACACGCTGCCTCTGCAGTACGCGAGAAACGAAGACAGGTAACCCTGAAAGAGGAAGCAGCCCGCGCAGATGTTATTATCAACGAGCTCAAAGCAGCGCAAAGTACTCGTGATACGTCTCGCACTTTAGCCCTGGCATCTCGGGGCTTAGATGCTGCGTCCAAGAGCGTGAACCTTGAGGCGTTGGTCTCCCATGCGAACAACTTCCTAGCACGTTCTGAGGATTTCAAAATCGCTAGTAGTGCAATTGAAGATGTTGCACAGGGCGTCTCTATGCGAGAATACGGTGCCGAGGGTGAAGCCGATGTTGACCGCCTTATGGAGCAGCTTGCGGATGATGCGGGTGTAGACCTACGTATGGCTCTGGATGCAGACGCGGCCCCCAAAGAGGACGTCAAGAATCAGAAAGAAGTTGAGACAGACCTTGAGGATGGCTTGGGCGCCAGACTACGAGCTTTAAGGGCTGCGAGCTGATCCTTCAACTTTCTTATTATGTCCCTCTCTCTCTTGTCAGCGATTTCCGTTGCTGCGTGGTTGGTCGGATGCGACTGCCATGTCAGCTTTTCTAGTACTGTGCAGACTTTAATGAAGCCATGCCCACCTGTTGATGTTTGTTATCAAGTCGCTCGTTTACCGGGACTTACCCCTCTCCTCTTCTGTCGATTACGTATTGGGCCCCTCATGGGTGAACGCTTGGCGTGGCTTTAAGTTTGAACTTCAATGTATACACGGAGTACCTGGTGTCTTCTTGTTTCCTTCCTTGTTCTTTCTTTCCTTCCTCTTGGGTGAAGGCAACAGCCAGTCTTACAATTCTGCTACCTTGATCGAATAGACTACCCGATGTTTGTAATGTTGTCCACGGTTTGCGGAGTCCCCATGAAATTATCAGGCTCTCTTGTTTCGTGAGAGGAAACTATATATTTCCACTAGCTTATAGCATACCACCTAAGTCAAAGATGCGCGAAGTCACTCAAAAGTGTTCTATTGCCACCCTAAATAAATTGACTTTAAAGTTCAAAGGCACCGCTCATTCTTTCTAAACGCTGTCGAAGAACTACTAGTAGTACGCATGATAAGTGTCGGGGATGAAAGTGAGCCTATGAAGTTTGCTTTATAAAGCACTATAAAAACAATTTGCATAATAAGTACAGCCGGGCTAGCTCAATCGGTAGAGCGTGAGACTCTTAGTCATCACGGCATCTCAAGGTTGCGGGTTCGACCCCCGCGTTCGGCTTTCCTTTTTGCTACTTTCCTTGATTATTTTTCACCTAGTAGTAGTCTGTCCCTAACCCCACTACCCATTGTGCATTATTTGTCCCCTAATCTCCGCAGTCTATCATCATTCTTTACCAAAAAATCTGGCCTGCCTAGGCATCACATCTAAAGCTAACAAGTCCGGCTATCCGCCGGGAATCAACTGCCATATAAAGTAACCCTAACCTTCTGAAAACGATCTGTCGATCTATCACTTCAATAGTTATACTCGCATCCTTATATCACTCCTTTATGATCTGTAGTAGCTATACCTGACCATATACAACGCATGGAGACAGTTGAAGTCCCCTTGCACGAATATCAATGGTACATGCTTGTTACCCCTTGCAGAGGATGGATGACACAGCGACGGCACCGAGTCTCAACAAGACATCCCACGCAAGACAGGCTGCATGTCTCAACTGCAGAAAGAGCAAGGTCCGATGCAACCGCACTCCAGGGGATGCCAGCTGTGATAGGTGCAGGCAGGCCGCTGCAGAATGTGTCATTCCCAGTCACCATGTTGGCAGGCAAAAAGGAGTCAAAAAGTACAAACCTGTAAACTGGCGTCCTAAAGGATCATGCTAATATTATTTCAATTTCTAGCAAACGCAAAGGCCTTGAGAAGGCTTTGCACCAGATAGAACAGGCTATCAAGCGACCTAAGTCTGATGCATCTGAATCTGATGCTGCACAAAAAATCATATCTAGTCTCCAAGATTTACTGAACAGGACACAAGGTAACCAGCTGTACAGCGAGACCGATGAACTATCAGAGGACACCGACCGACCCCACGACCCCCATTCTCCCCACGGCGTTGATACAGGTGACAGTTTGTCACTGGACGACGCAGAGAACCCACTGCAACTACTGGCGCGCGCGTCTGACCTTCAGCTACCACCGGCTCAAGTGCGTAGTTTCCATGGAAAGCGTCTTCTGGAGCCATCACAGCCAGTAGCACCACCACAGGTTAATAACGCAGAAGACGATTCCTCCACGGCCAAACTATTTTTTGTTCCCGTTAAGTCGAATTTGGACCTGGGCCCAGACATGGACCCCATTGAGCTAGGCCTCGTCACCCCCGATGAAGCCGAGTCCCTTTTTGCTTTGTATGATCACATATCTATCCCCGAATCCATCTGCACAACCTGGGCTTATATATCAGTCTAGTTTTTATCAAGACCTTGCTCATACTCGATGGGGCCTTGACCCCGTCATCCATACTGCGTCTTTTGTACGTTCGCAGTCAGCTTTCCTTTTCACATCAATAATGGCTGCCGCTGCTTTGTTCGTACCATCAGCGGCCGCGCTATCGAAGAGGCTGTCTAGACACTGTAAATCACTGGCTCAGATGGTCACCACTAAACGTTTCAGATCGGTCGAAATAGTCCTGGCTTTCATGGTGAATGTTCCTTGGATGGCTCATGGTAATTACTTGGGTGACGACGACACCTGCTCCTACATTGCGATGGCCCTTGCCATTGCACTGGACTTGTCCTTAAACAAGATTGTTTTACCGTCTACTAGCTTTGACAATGGTGTTATAAGACGGCTTGCCAGGGCCGATTGTATTGATGCAAAGAGAGCATTGCACATGGATGGCTTTGATAATGCCGATCCAATCTCGGAATGGGGCCAGAGACTACTGCGACGACGCGAAAGGACCTGGATTGCCTTGTTCGTTTTAGAACGAGGGTAGGTAGCCCTGCTTTGAGCTCTGTATGCCCATCCTTCCTCCTATGACTAATGTAGCTCCACAGTGTATGTTTAGCTCGTGGGAGAAGCTACACTGTTCCCCAGACTTCTCTCATCGTAAGTTGTGACCGATGGCATATCTCGAACGTTGCAGACGCGCGTGATGGGCCCATGATTTCGATGGCGGCCCTCCGAAGAAACCTGGTATGCTGTTTCTGATACGTGCTGGGTCGTAGATTACGTGTCTTAATGTACGTTATATTAGGATGATCTTTTCAAGAAGGTCAAGTCCAGTTGCGATAACTACCAGACCATCGATGCTGGTTCAGAAGCTGCTCAATCGTACGTACAATCCTGGTCGCGTATTGACCATATGAGTTGCTAACGATCGTTTCAGAATTAAGACCACGATAGAAAGTTTCTACGATCGTTGGTATGAAACATGGGGGCCGGCGATTGGGGAGGGTCATTGTAAGTTTGCTGGTCGTTGTTGAAGCAGGCAGTCTCGTGCTCGGAGGAGAGCTGATTCAAGACAAAGCATATTCCCTTCCACCGTACGTGGAAATTTTGGTCACTCACACGCGATTATCAACGTATGGTGGTGTGATCAACCATCCCACGGCGCCACTTGAGGTAAAGCGTTTTTTTCGAGCGGCTGGCCTTTCCTCGGCGCTGAATGTAATGAGGGCCGCCATCCAAGGAGAATCACGATTAAAATCGATGCCGAACAACACGGTCATTATGATTGCATTCGCCGCATGCTCTGCCCTCAGCCTCAGTGTTGTGCCAACGGATACCAGATCCAGCCTGGCCCCAAGTGTACGGAATTTGATCGAGGAAACTGCAGGCGTGCTGGAGCGTATTGGGGCGACCCCCGGTCATAGGAACGGCGCGTCTGTGCTTTACGGACGGTATCTACGAGAGCTAGTTCGACGAGGCTCTGAGAATCGAAACGAACCACGGATACCGGCCGAGGCGACCCTGAGATCACCATCAGCCTTTGGTGGGTACGGTACTGTGCCCCCACTGCCACAACCGTCATTCTCGCCTTTATTTTGGTCAGAGCCGCTGCAGTTCTCTGCTATGTCTGATGGTCAGATCATCGATGCTGTGAACCGAGCAGGCATCACCTTCGGGACGGGCGTGCCGGATGTCCCACTGGACGACTTAATGAGTTGGGACTGGCTGGACATTGGAAATGCAACTGACTTTGGCTTCTGACGACACTGAGGGGAAAATGCAGCCGATCTCCATCCCGTCGGCGTCCAGAAGTAGCTCCGAGTGCCGATCCCGTTTCCTCGATCGATTCAAAAAACAAGGCTCTTGCACTTCCTACCAATCCATTGCCCTGTCTTGTTTACTTCTCTTTTCTTTTTTCTTTTTTCTTTTTTTTTCCTTTTTCTTCCACCTTCCTAATTTCTGTTCTCCAAAGGCCTTGTGTGAAGGTTATTGGCAATCTACTGAAGACGAAGACAATGGCGACACTGCGGGTCTCAGCGTTGCCCTTGTCGCGGAGAGCGCTCTCCGTCGCTCGGCCATGGTTTCAATTAAAGACATCCTATAGATCAAGTGTGCCGCCGTTACTTCGGACGAATAGCAAGAAAACCGCTCGATACTCAACAGTTACGGTAGAGCAACCGGCGCGAATGCCGACAATCGATCGTGCTGCATCGAAACTTTTCAGGAATGCGGATGAAGCTGTAGCTGACCTTAAAAGCGGATCTATTATCCTTAGCTCGGGATTTGGACTTTGTGGTGTTGCAGGTGATAAGACATGGCATGTGTTTGAAAATAAAGTCTAGGGCTGATATGTGCCAACCATAGAAACCATTATATCTGCAATTCATCGCCGTGGGCCTGAGGACCTACATTCCCTGACCGCGGTTTCGAACAATGCTGGTGCCCCAGGGAAAGGCGGCCTTTCTACACTAACCCAAGCTGGCCAGGTAAATCGATTGATATTGTCTTATCTCGGAAACAACAAAGCTTTGGAGAAGAAATACTTGACGGGGGATATTGCTATCGAGCTGTGCCCCCAGGGAACGTTAGCGGAGCGGCTACGTGCGGGGGGCGCCGGAATTCCTGCGTTTTTCACTCCTACAGGAGCTCGTAAGTGTCTTTTCTTCCTTTCTCTTCCTGTTTGTTTGTTTGTTTGTATTTGCCCTTTCACCCCTAAGGTTGAATGTGATCAAGTTTTAATAATCGCCCACCAAACCTAGACACATTCCTTCAGGAGGGACAGATCCCAGTCCGTCTGGACGAATCCGGTAGAGTTCTGGAGCATGGCAAGCCACGCGAGACGAGGATTTTTAATGGGAAGACTTATTTAATGGAAAATGCTCTCACCGGTGACGTTGCTATCCTTCGGGCATGGAAGGTAGACGAGGCTGGAAATTGTGTTTTCCGGTAGGTACGATCTTGATCTAGCATTACACATGCGATACTGATATTAAGTGTTTCTAGTTATACTACCAAGGCGTTTAGTCCTCTCGTGGCAAAAGCAGCCACTCTTACAATTGTCGAGGCAGAGAACATTGTCCCTGTGGGCTCCATAGACCCAAATGACGTGGACTTGCCGGGAATATTTGTGGATAGGATTGTTCCCGCCACAGCTCCAAAGTCTATTGAAATCAAAAAGCTGCGGCCCGCTGACGACGCAGGTACTTTGCAACCGGCCAAGGACGCTGCCATGGCGCAAAGGAACCGAATTGCTAAGCGGGCAGCAAAAGAGCTCAAGCAGGGATATTATGTCAACCTAGGCGTTGGTTTGTGTGGACTAGTCTTTTATGGTGTGTCCACGGCTCATGGTTAGATAGGGATTCCTACACTCGCTCCATCCTTCATGCCTGAAGGTGTCAAGGTCTGGGTACAGTCCGAGAATGGGCTTCTGGGGATGGTGTGTTGGGCCTTCTATCATGCATCCAACAACTAGCAAGGAAACTGACTGAAATAAGGGTTCATATCCCACAGAAGCTGAAGTTGATCCGTGAGTGTTTTCATCCCGATCATTATTCCCTCCTTGCCTAATATCCCTCCCTCAGAGACATCATAAATGCCGGGAAAGAAACCGTTACTCTGGTTCCCGGCGCTGCAACCTTTGATAGTAGCGAGTCATTTGGGATGATTCGGGGCGGGCATGTAGATGTTTCCATCTTAGGGGTTCGTGAAACCATTCTTCACTTGTGGACCTCTGCAGAGGCGAGGATTGTCTAACTAGTCTACAGGCTCTGCAAGTCAGCGCAAAGGGCGACTTAGCGAATTACATGATTCCCGGGAAGGTCTTCAAGGGTATGGGAGGCGCCATGGATCTGATCTCTAACCCTGACCGAACGAAGATCGTGGTAGCCACTAGCCATACGTCCAAGGATGGATCCCCGAAAATCGTATCAGAGTGCGAGCTGCCTTTGACTGGTGCGAACTGCGTGAGCACAATTATAACGGATCTGGTAAGGAGAGATAAACAGGACGAGGATTCGAATAGATGGTCTGACTTTCCGCTATAGTGCGTTTTCCAGGTCGATCGGGAGAAGGGAGAGCTGTTGTTGACGGAGCTTGCTCCTGGTGTCGAGGTTGAGGAAGTCCAGAGCAAGACGGGGGCCAAGTTCACCGTGGCAAAGCAACTGGAGCTCATGGAGTGACAATGTGGACCTGGGAATCCGTGACACAATTGAAAAGTGAACGGATATTTCACCTTTCCTTTTGATATATGCTGCTCATAATTTTAGATATATATGTAAATATCGATTTTAGAGAGCTGGGACGCGGTGCGCATCAACCGTGATTATATACGTGCAGTACAATATCGGATTGTTGAATTTACGAGCTCGCTGTATTTAGAGTTTGGAGCCCCTAGATGGGGCGAAATTGGATCCTGTCCCTTCGCTGATTGACTCCACGATATCATCCACGCTCTTCAAGATCCAAGTATTGCCTTCGTCGCTTGCAAGCCATTTAGCCCCCTCCTCACTTTCGACGTCGCTCACCCAGGTCCCGTCCTCGAGGGCTTTGCGAAGCCCAAATACGTGCGATGTCACTTGCGGGCCAACGCCAGACTGAGCACGCAGACATGCAACGGCGACAATTGAAGTTGAGATTCTACCCGCAGTTGCACCAGTACATCGATTAGCTGGATCTGACAAGAGCGCTCCGTAATGACTGTTCAAGATATGGACAGGTAGATCGGGATGGGAATCGGCTAATTTGCTATGTAGCTTTGACTCAAATGGGCGATAAATCGAGTTCCACAAAGCGCGGCCACGGTGGGAAATCTCATCGATATTCTCCGGCGTAGGGGCCCGGGTAGGAGAGCGCGATAGTTTCGCAGTGACTGAATCCGGAAGGCTGGCCTTGAAGACGTTGAGGCAGTTAATGGTGCGAGGGATGCCATTGAAGCTAATGCACTTCAGGCCAACCTCCCGCATGTATTCAGCGACGGATACACCCTCATCGGTGGACTGGGAAGCCGTGGCTAGTTGGAAAAGAATGGCAAGGGACTCGGGGGAGTTCATCGTCATCGTGGCGGCTGTCTGGAAGGAAATGAGTATCTTTCTGGCATGGACGTGCCCTTTCCCCCTTTGGCGGTGTAGGAAACTGAGAGAATGGTACCAACCGACAAAGCTAGCCAGGCCGGCTGCGAGAGATTGTTCGATTGCGCCGTCTGCTGAATCTTCTGGTAGACGGATCGGATGTTGGGTGGAGCGGGAACCGTATTCGGGCGTGCTTTTGGGGCGTTGATCAGTGCCTTCAAACTGTTGGGTAACTTGGACATGTTGCTTTGGTTTACTCGAAGCCGGAGAACTTGTGGTTGGAGAAAGCTGAAGGAAAGGATGGGGGATGGAACCTATTCATGTTTGGATTCTCGAATTGATGCCTCGGCACTAGAAATGGATACCGATGAGAACTTGATCCCGAGTGGCGCCGATACCCGTGCAGCGTATGAAATTTGTAAGGTACAATACATATACATATATAACACACTTGTATCTTACAGTATGCATGGTACGAATACCCCACGCGAAGCTTTCTTCTTGGTCTGGGGAAAAAAAGTAAAGGAAAATAAAATGCGGGGAAAGAAATCCACATTTGATCTCTTTGCCTTTTTCATACTTCATAGGATCGGTTGTAAAAAGTGGCCCCCGAGAACGATGATCGATGTCTGTCGCATTCCTTCCACTCTCTATATATATCACGCGTTCGTCTCATCCTAACTCGCTCTTGGAGAACTTTAATGATATTCCCATCACCGTCCCCGTATCATCATGGCGTCCATTAAGCAAAGTACGGAGCTTGTTGAAGATGCGAAACCTACATCAGTTACGGAAGCAATTGCTGGCGATACCACCCAGAAGAGGGTGATCCAGAGTATCTTATTCAAATTGGACACAAGGTAGCATACATAGAGTGTGGCACTAGATCTCCACAGAATTTCTGAGAAGTTATTCTTGACAGAATCCTCCCAATCTTAGCCTTGCTCTTCCTATGTTCCTTCCTGGATCGTACAAATGTCGGCAATGCGAAGATACTCGGCCTCGAGGACGACCTCAACATCACTGGTCATCAATATGATATAGGCTTGGCAGTTTTCTATCTGACCTACATATGCAGGTATGTGAGCCAAACAGACCCACAAACATCATGAAGCACCAACACCATCGCATGTATATCCATGCGCCACAATTCGTGTGGGCTAATCGGAGTACTCCCAACGTAAGCGAACTCCCGAGTAACCTCATCCTGAAGAAGGCATCACCAAAAATTTGGCTTCCATTGCTCACTATGGTTTGGGGTGTTGTTACTATGTGCCTTGGCTTTGTTCGCAATTTTGCGGGGTTTGTAGCTGTCCGTGCTATTCTGGGCGTTGCAGAGGGAGGATTGCTCCCTGGGATGGTAGGAATGCTCGTTTTTCCCCTTGGTTATTCGAGGCTGATACGATTTAGGTACTGTATCTATCGTTCTTCTACAGACGAGGGGACCTAGCTTTACGCATTGGATTGTTTTACACTGCTGCATCATTGTCTGGTGCTTTTGGAGGTACGATTTTGCATAAAGTTGATCTTTTCCCTATCTTCCTCATGCGACTCACGTATGGTGATATAATCTAGGACTCTTAGCTCGCGGGCTGGCTGAAATTGGCCCTCAGGGTGGACTGGAGGGCTGGCGTTGGATTTTGATTATCGAGGGGCTACTGGTAGGCATTGTTATACATGAGAAAGATGGTACTGGCCTATTTTGACATTGAGCAGACATTCTTTTGCGGTTGCCTCAGTTATGTTGGCCTCCCAAATAGTTTAGAAACAGCGACGTTTTTGACCCGCGAAGAGCGGTCGGTTGCACAGGGAAGGATTTTGCTTGATAATCCATCCGTACCCCAGACGTATGTCTTCCTCCCTGTTCCGTATGACATCCAGGGGTCAATTGCCTTGTGTCGGACAGGCTAGGAAGTTCCCCTTCCCTAGCCTTTCTGGACTTCATATCTTCTTCTTTCGTTTTTCGTTTTCTTATGCTTTGCCTAACAAAACGGTTATGCTGACAGGAAAGAAGCTCTTCAGGAGATGAATTGGAAACCTTGAGGTGGTCTGAAGTGCGAAGGGGACTGCTAGACCCCCAAATGTGGTTTTCTGCAGCGGCGTATTTTGCCATATTGTCCGGATTGTACTCGTTCGGACTGTTTGTATGTTTGGTTGATCCACAAGCTTCTACAGGAGATAACTGACCGGAGACCCTTGTCTTATCTAGCTACCTACTATAATCGACGAAAGTGGGTTTGCAACTGACCCAAACGCCGTGCAGTTATGGACGGTGATTCCATATGCCGTCGCAGCTGTCTTAACAGGTAGGTCAAACGAACTATAGACCGCGATAATGATGGTATTAACGGGTACCAGTATTCGTGGCTTTTATTTCGGATCGCTTGAAGCTGCGAGGCCCTATTATGCTTTTCACTCTGCCTATTTCCATTGCAGGGTACGCAGCGATTGCCAATATCCAGTCTGCCAAAATCAAGTATGGAATGACCTTCCTTATGGCTACTGGGATGTATAGTAGCGTCCCATGTATTCTGGTGTGGAATACAAATAACTCAGCTGGACACTATAAACGTGCCACAACGTCAGCGATGCAGCTGACTATCGCTAACTGCGGTGGTTTTGTTGCTAGTAAGTTGACCTAGCTATGGGCGTTTCAGCAAGCTATGCACTAACTAGTGAGTAGCGTTCAACTATCCTGACAAGGACAAACCCCAGTACCACCGTGGTCACACCATCATTCTTGGCCTCCTTGTTTTTGCATGGTTCATGTAGGTACATGCTATGCGTGGTCCAGATGACGACTGACTTCTCACCATAGGGTTTTGCTTAACATTCTCTATTGTAACAAGGTGAACAGGGACAAGAAGAAGGGTAAATACGCACAGTACGCGGGATATAATGATGATAGAGATCCTGCATTTGAGTTGATGTTGTGATATGGGTACTACTAGTAGTGTCGGATGAACTCCGAGAATTTGTACACTTAATACATACATAAGAATGCACTAAACTGTAAACGACAAGCTCGGCTGCACCGGACAAATTTCCGGGGTAGGAATTCGCACCAATTGATATAGCTCAAGTATTAACAGATCAATGTAATTGTAACTAGTTGGCTGGAACGCACCATTCCCACCCCGCAAACAAAGGGAAGGGTCAGCGTGTTGTGGAAAGCACCTTTTCCACAGTCTGATAGAGCCAACATCCTGACCCACCTAATGTGGAAATGGCCACACATATTTATAACTTGGCCCAGATGCCTCCATCTGGTGGCAGTGTTTCAAACATCCCTTGCACGCGTTTGACCCGAAATTAGTGATGTTGTTGAATATGAGATCGATCGTTTGCCGAGTCCTAGCACTTGCAGCATGTGCCACGACTGTGTCTGGTAGCTCGTGCTCTGAACCGTGGTCCAAAGACGCATGCCAGCTCTTTTCAGAGTCGATGGATTATTTAGATCGAATGTACGACCCGAAAGCTGCGTATGTCTTCAACCCTAGTGCGGCTACAGCTCTGCGTCATGACACAAGGACGTCCGTCTGGTATGCAGTGGGCTTGTTGGCTCGGAACCAGAATGATGATGTGGCGCAGGCGATGGCAATCATCCAGAATGTAATCGAAGTGCAGTTCAAGGACCCTGCAGATCAATGGTGGGCCTGTGTTTGAACGTAAAGTGTCGGGTGCCTGCTCACCTATATAGGTATGGGGACTACCCCGTGTACCCCGAGGAACCCACCGTGGGTACTTCGGCATACGAGTCGAGCCTCTATGACACTTGGGATCCCAACTGGAGAGGCTTTATTGGGACAGCCTTTATCATCGCCTTGGAGGAGTTTCACCATCTGGTCAACCCGGACGTGGCAGAACTTATGCTGGAATCCCTTTACAATTGCACCATTGGAGATGCGTATCGAGTTGGAGGAGTTGACGGGGACAATCTGTATCCCTCGTATACTAACCCGGTAAGAGATGACTTGTCTTCGTGTAGTGCAAGGATTTAGCTTGTCTGATTGATAGTCTTGAAGGCATTAATGAGAGCCATTGTGAGTGGTTGGACCGGCGAGAAATACGCAGATGCCAACATGACGCTGGCCGGTGAGAATTATGCGAATGAGGTTATTGGTCTTTTCGACCGAGCCAATACTCTTTCAGAGTTCAACAGCGCAACGTATACTGGCGTCTCTTTGATTGCGCTGACGATGTGGACAAAGTACGCCGCAGAGAGCTCTGTGATGAAAGCAAAAGGAAAGGAAATCCTGCAAGCTACATGGAACAACATCGGCCAATTATATCACGCAGAGCTCAAGAATCTTGCGGGGCCATGGGACCGCTCCTATGGATTCGACATGCAGAAGTATTTCGGAATTATGTCTGCACATATTTGGACCCTTGTTGGGAAGAAAAAATCACCTGTTATTGACAAGGTATAAGACGCTTGTTGTTCACCAGTCTTCCGGGGCTAACCGACTAGGTCTACATGATGTCTCATAACGCTGACTTTGCCATTTCTCCGCTTGTGGCTATACTCTCGAGCTTTCATAACTCCTTGGTCCCGGCTACGGCAGTAGATGCTCTAAGAACCTTCCCTGGAGAGCACATGGCCAGCACATCAGCACAGTCAATCCCGTATGATTATTTCCCCCGAAACATCAGTGCGTGGCTTGGAGAAAAGATAAGTGTCGGAGCAGAAAGTTTCAATGAGACTGTTATAGGGGGCCCAGCTATGAATCCGTCTACATTCAACTCGGCGGTGGTCCAGTGGGATACTGGAGCTGGAATTGGCTGGATTACAGTATGCACCCACTCCCTACTTAGGTGGTACCAAAGGACTACCTAACATCTTATAGTTATATGCAACAGAGCAGGCTCTCGACGCAGTCGTTGGACCGGGTTATCTTAACCTAACCTATCCCCAGGGAACGTCATGCTCTCAGTTCCAATTCTTAGTCTCTCCGTTTACTCAGAAGAAAGATGTTGCTGGCTGGGAAGATCTTGTAGGATTGAATGTCAGAGTGTCCGGCACTTTCGACCCAAAGCTGAGTGTATCATATAGTGCAAGCGATACTACCATAAAGTATGTTTCCTGACGACTTGAACTTGTCCCCCAGAGACTAACATACTCCTAGTGACTTCATGTACTGGAATCTCACCTACTCAATGCCAGTGAATAGTACTACAATCCCAAATATATTGCTGGAGGTGAATTTGGCGTGACTGATTACTCGCAATCAATAAACGAAATGAGACGACTGGTCCAGAAGATCACATTGAGAGGTTGCAACTGGAGCCTTTTTGGGGGGATGTGCAAGGGGCCAACTTTTTTTTAACAAGACATTAGTGACATATATGCAGCCATGATTCTGGGTTTGCTGTTATAATGCTGGTCTGAGTGTGCTCTCACGGCAAAACACGGCGGCAATGAAAAAAGCAATAAAGAGCGCTGTCTAAACTCTACTTTCGTCTTCTAACTTTTTTACTGCGGATATAAGCTATGACACTTATCGAGATGTCCAATTGCATCCACACACCCACCGATGGGAGGGTTTTAGCTCAAGTGCAACTCAAACACTTTCGTCATCCTGACCAGATCTCTGGCGACGGACCGGCTCCGTTCCAGCGAAACTGAGTAGCATGCCGATATCATATATGGCCTTCAAAATACCCGCAATGGTAAAGGAAAGACCAAAAAGACCATATTTCGATAGCACCCCGGTGATGAGTGGCCCTAGACTCTGACTGCTAGTCTTCACCACATTGATGGCACCCATGACGGCGGTGCGCTTGTCAGAGGGAAGCGCCGCAGCGAGGAAAGCCGAGCGCGGTGCCACATCCATGTTCTGGGAACAGGCCCGGAGCACCAAAAAGGTCAGGGCTAGAGGTAATATATTCGGAACTGGAATAAGAGCTAGACAAATGGCAGAAGGGAGATGAGTGAAGACCATCGTCTGTGTCCTATGATCAGCTTTGATTCCTTCCCCATAATATATTACAGTACGATATTCCTACCTTGACATTACCAATGCGTTTGGCAATGGAAGAGGCTACCAACATGGACGCAGCGGCGATAATGCTTGTAGTAAAGAAGATGGAACCGAGTTCACCCTCCGGCAGGGAGAATTTGCGTTTGAAGAAATAAGTCATCCATGACCTGCAACTGTTAGTCTGGCGTTCTGCAGCAATTATAAAGAACTGGTACGGCAATCCGTGAAAGTACATACAAAGATGCCAAGCCCGACGCAAATGAGTCGAGAGCAAATAGAATGAAGAGTCTGACGACCAACGCTACGAGGTCTCTGTCGCCAAGGAAAGAAAATAAGTTTGTTTTCTTTGGAGGCTGCTCGCCGCTGGCCCTCCCACCCAGGAGAGGCTGGGTCTCACCATTCTCGCCTTGCTGATCCTGCCGCCGAGCAGGCTTTTGTTTCTCTGCCTCCACGTGATGACTCAGAATAGCGGCGAGAATGAACTTGAGAGCACCAATAGCTGCGTACGCAAAAAAGATCATCTGACAAGCAGCGATAAATTGCCATCCCCGATTAACTTGCAGTAGATTGATGGCCCACCCGCAGGCCATCATGCCTAGAGCCGTGCCTGCGGTGCCGATTAGAGAATACCAGGCAAAAATATCACCTAGCGATTCATGAGGCGTGAGGTGAGCCAGAGTGGACTCTTCAACAGCTCGGAAGGGTCCGATTTCATTTCCACTATTGGGCGATGTAAGGATACGGATACAGAACTCGAACAAATTCCGACGGCTTACCTTGGACTAATCACCCCGAGAACAGCTGCCGCCAGAAGAATCCAGAAGTTATCGAATAAGGCGAAAATGACACCACTACCTACCATCAAAGCCGAACCCAGTAGGAGAACAGCTTTGCGGCCCATCGCATCGGCAAAAAGGGTCAGAAAGAAGCTAATGACCACATCCCCAACCAGAGTTAAGGTCATAAAGAGGCCAATATGGGCATCGGAAATGCCTAATGAGGATAGATACGAGGCTAAAATAAGCGTCGAGCCACCATAAGCAAACAGCCGAACAAATCGCTGGGCGCAAAGCAATTTCACATCTAGCGAGGATTTCCAGAGGGAGAGCAGTCCCAATTCACGAAGGATTTTCGTGGGCAGTCGAACCCGATTCTCGGATGAATCTCTGGTCATGGTGGAGGAAATCAATTGATGATCCTGTCTCTCTCACTCACTCAGGCAAGCACGAAAAGATGGTAAAATATAGAAAAACTAGGCTGTCTAGAAAGAGATATCCGTTGAGTTAGTTAGTTAACCTACCAATTAATAAGTCCTTACCTAAGTTTGACTAGTTGGTTAGCTTAGTTATTTCTTGGCGCGATATGATATGATATGACATAGCATAGCATAAGGAATATGACTAAGCTCTTATTTTCATGCACCAACATAGTAATCTACTAGTAGTAGTACTACGTCGTTCAGTAGAGCCATGTAGGACTGGCTAATTACTACCGCCAGAATTGTCTGGGGGTGACGGCGAGATACGTATTGGAAAAACCGGTCAGGTGATGGATGACTTCGAGAATGATAATTTGATCACGATGACTGCGCAATCCTCTTCTTTCCTCCCTCACCCTCCAAACAATACAATAACAAATACATTCTAGAAGAGAAGGCAAAGAAAAAACAGAGAAAAGGGGGGGGTTTGTGTTACCCAAAAGCCTTGGTCAATTATGAAATATGACAAAAAAAAAGCATCAACTCCCGAGCGCGAACCCCGGGAACTGTTGAGGTCCAAGCCCCATTTAATCATGACCCTAAGTGACGAATTCTAAGGTAATTTTTCCTTGTCTACTAGACCTTAATCTTTTCTCACCAAACATTTCAGCTTTTAGACCCATTTCTATCTTATCTTACTCGCGTACTTTATACTCGCTCCTGACTTCAATGATATCAGCGTACGCACTGTACCAAAACAATGGCGTTGAAGAGCGCCTCGAGTCTCTTAACTTTCTATCTTACACTCGGTAGCTTCTGCCTGGGTAACACAGCCGATATGTCGGCTTTTAATAACCCTGATCATGGACCGCCGGCCACAGATTTTGCTGCAGCAGACTCGCTGCCGATCTCAGTCCTTCGTGCAGCAGCTGCAGCCGCTAGCGTAGTTCCAAAGGACGCAACATATCCCTTTAGCCTGGGTAGCTCCGAAAAGTCCACCATACACAGTGACTGGCTTTCCTTTAAAGAGGTGCGTTGAATCTAAGAGCCCCGCCTCAGTAGGCGCACTGCTAACCTCCTAAACTTTAGGGCGCTGCTCTGTCATGGGTGGCTGATATGGATGTGGATTGCGATGGAGTGAACCATAAATGTGAGGTAACTGGCCTAAAGTCGTTTGTGACATATGTACATCCTCTGATATGCTTATTCCAGGGAAATGGAGATGGCCAACCGCAGACAAATTGGGGGGCTCTGTCTGCATATGCAGTGCCTTACATTGTGATTCCCGATAGGTTCCTGGTTGCAAATAAGGATATTCTACTAGGAAATAATATCGCAGCCGTGATTTGGTATGTTTTCTTTCCCTTGTGCCAATACCCATCTAATCGGCGATTCGCAGTAACGGCAAGATGTATTATGGGATCCTCGGCGACTCTAATGGGGATGACCCCCAAATTACGGGTGAAGCGTCGTGGCTGATGGCGAGGACATGCTTCCCCAAGGAGAATCTACAGGGAAATAATGCCCACTCGTCTAAAGATATCACCTGTAAGTGTTCTTACTGGCTTAACTTCCCAAAGAAGGAGCTGCTCACGAGCTATGAAGATATTCTTTTCACTGGCAAGGGTGCTGTTCTCCCTGATAACGCCATGGATAAAACCTACATCACGGATTTCGGCACCCTGAGGACTATGGGCGACAAGCTTGTCAGAGCTCTTGCCTCGAATGTGGACACATCAACTTCATCCGAATCTGCAGCTACAAGCCTATGGGCAGGGCGGGGAGGTCCGTATCATTTTATTGAAAAGGAACTTTGAGGAGCACTGTCTAACTTCTGCCAGGTCTAGTGATGATGATCGTTGTGCTATTCTGCACTGTACTGGTCACGTTGGCTTTGTGATATATCTGATTATGGTCACTTATCTTTGGGTTTTAGTCTGGGACAAGTCATAGACGGTGATGCATGTTACAAAAATGAAAGCTACTTGGAGGATTTGTCGTATGCTTTTGGGGTTGGGGTTGGGGGTAGGGGGGGGGGGCGGGGGTCATTAGACAGCATGAAGACAAGGGAAGGAGATAAACAGTCAATACCTATGAAAATTTACAAATGGAAGTTTGATACTAAATGGATTTATTTTCAATGGTATACATACCTTATCGATATCTTATCAGATTTAATGACGTTTACTAAGTAAATCTTGGGAAAGTGGATCCTCGTCTCCCCCGCTTTTCGATGCCTAAAAAAGGCAAGTCATTCCGTAAACCATACTCCATCGGTCTCCCATGCTCAGTACGTCTGGTATATCTTTCCAGACTTAATGATCACAATCCTAGGCGACTGATAGAGGTAATTTGCCTCCGCCCTGTATACCCACAATGACCGCTGCGACAGCTTCCCGAGGGACCAAAGCATCTTCTGCCATGTCAACTACCCGACCTAGGTCTCTAGGAGGCTGTGCCACATGTCGTAGCCGTCATGTGAAATGTGACGAAAGTCGTCCCACATGCTTGGTGTGTCGAAATTTGGGCCTGACCTGTGACAGGTACGAAATTAGACTCGTGTTTGATGCAATTGACACGCAAGGTTCACGATGCCGTCGACCTTTGTTCACCGAAGACATGCGGCAGAGGATGAGTGAACAGCTAGTGGACAGCGTGAATCCAGATGACGCAGCCACTTTGTTGCTTCAGATTGATGACCAGTGCGAAGAACAGGAGCAGCACCCCGATAGCTATTTCAATACTTGCCTAGGGCCATTTGGCGCCTTCCGCGCACCTCGACAAGGGCTCGAGCTTCATGAAGCGCTGACATGCCCTTCCATGGAGTCTCCACCATATCAACATGTTCCTATCGCAGATGACTTCAACACGGCGTTTGAGGCTGCCTTGATTAATGATCCTCTTATGGAATGTCTTTTTGGGGCGATAGATGTAAATACCACAGGGGACTTCCAAACGGAAAGCTTCTTCAACATTACTGGGACAGAAAACCACGAACATTCATCACAGCAGTCTGTGACTGAGAGCTCCGGAATGTTAATGGGACTGCCATCATTGTCCCAACATATCCAGTACACACCGACTATTCCCAATCTGGCTCCTCCAGATGCGCCTTTCCTGTTATCAGTATATAAAAGCAAGGTGATCAGATTGTTCTCACCGGTCCAATCCAGAAAGTCTCCTTGGCACATTCTTCACGTGCCGAGTGCCATGGGAGCTTTTGCTCAATTAACCATGGGAGAGCAACCAGGTAATGCACAGTCGTGTATCTTCTATGCAATCCTAGCTACTGGTGCTTACATGCAGCGCGCAATTTCAACATCGCAAGGGCATCGTGAATACTGGAAAAAGCAATCAGAGTCATATGCTGTTTCCGCGCAGAATTATCTCAAGATAGCGCTTCAAGATATGTCAGCCACCTTCAAAAAGAGTAAATACAAAGACATCCTCATCGCCTTAATGTGTATGAACACCGTCTTCGTAAGTGACCGGATATTTCATCAGCATCCCTTCTGATATAGAAATAAATAGAGGAAAATATTGTGAGCCAATACTAACCAACTACTTGGGAATAAACAGGCATACCAGGGTAATGAAGATCGCATTAGGAGATGTCTCCTGGACTGTGAAAATTGGATTCGCTTCCGTGGTATACCCAAGACCCGTAAATCACGGAAAGTGCGACTGTTACATCACTGCTATGTGTATCTCCGCATCTTCTACGAAAGCACATCAGTGTCACATGTAAGGGGCTCCAGTTTACAGCAAGAAATGAATGCATCGCCAGATACCGTTACGTCCGTGGCTTCTAGTCCCTCTTTTCGTCTTCGACAGTGGGAAGGCCGACTCGACCAGAGAATGGATGAACTGAAAGAACAGCATTTGGGTGAGAATGACATTCACCTTGAGATCCCAGGTCGATGGGATTCTACAATGTACCCTCATGTCTTTGCTATGCCGGAGACTCTTCTATTCTTGTTGTCCCAAGTGACGCGCCTCGGGAATGAGCGAGACATGTCCGATCTAGACGGTGGGTCAAGTATCCTGGACTTTAGGCAGTTTTCCTCACGAGCGCGTAGCCTTGAACGGTATATCTGTACATGGAGACCCTCATCGCCCCCTTCCCACGGTGAAGACAATGAAGACGACTTGAATGACAACGGTGCTTTTCAGATCAACACTATACTGAGCAGTCACATGGTCCTTGCTCTGCACAGAGCACTGCTGGTCTTCTTCTACCGGCGAATATACGATGTGGATCCAACTATACTGCAAGATAGGGTCTGGCAGATTCAAGACTCTTTGTCGCACTGTGATCATGGCGATATCCCTACCGCCCCTTTGTTGTGGGCTGCATTTGTCGCAGCCTGCGAAGCGCTTGACCCAGCCTTACGAGACTGGTTCACAAACTGGTTTAATAGGTCGTTCAAGGCAAGCGGGTTACACAACTTCAGGTTTGCCCTTAAAATAGCCAAGCAAGTGTGGGAAAAGCAAGGGCAATCTTTGAATAGTGATAATAGTACTAGCTGGCCGCAGGTTATGCGGGACTACGGCATGAGTATGTTTTATGTCTGAAGAAGGAAGAAGGAAGAAAAAGAAAAAATCTTTTTAAAAAAAAGAAAAAAAAAAAAAAAGGAAAGAAAGAAAGAAACAAAGAGGTATAATCAGAATGCTCGTTTTCTAGAAAGTGACAGCCTCAACTGAAATGGAGCGTATCAAACCCCGACATGCCCTCGAGGTTAGATACTTTACGATTCTTGACTGGCTTATTGCAGGAACCTCGCATTTGAAAGCTCGAGCTCCATTTCGTATCCAGATTGAAAATCGTGGTATAATGCCTCCCGTTTCTTTGTTAGTCGCACCGGGGTACTAAACGGCTGACCTCCGCTGAGATACGTACGGGATCACTGGTTATCTTATGACCTCTGAGTCGTCGGGCTCGATCAACTTCTCCTCCATTCCCTGTGCTGCCGCGGTGTTGACTTGAATTGGATCTCACAACTGCGATCTGCTAAAGTGAAGAGGTATGCTGCTTCATTCAGAGTGTCACCAACGGTCAATAGACCATGATTTCGCAAAATTAGCAACTTTTCATTTTCTCCCAGAAAGCTTCCAAGACACCCACTTCCCCCTTTCTCCAAAACAACCCCACTAAACTCAGGATAGACGGCCTGGGCCTCGCCGTAGAACATTGTCACACTCTGTATGAATCATACCTAGTGGCTTGGTGCTTGTAGATCAAGCTTTGCCATGTTTAGAATGGGGATGACATCCAACATTGATATGGGAATACCTCATGTGCAGAGCTCCGTGAATATGGGAGCCAGTAGCATTTGCAGGCCGAGACATGTGGCCTCCTATAGGTTTTCCGTCATGGTTGAGAAGGATCAAGATTCAAGTCTGAGACTTTTGACTTGACTGGAATGGAAACCGTGCCTGCATGCATTGTAGTGGGATTAGCTGTTTTGTATTGGTTCCCCCCTTCTTTTTGGGATACTTGAATCACCAGGGTTGGTGCTCACGGACTTGTCTAGAAGTAGTCCAAGCGCTCTGGTTCTCGCAAGGAGATATGCCCACTCATGCCTTTCGAAAAACCCCTCCAAGCAAATACGCATTGCACTTTCTAAACTACTTGCAAATCGGGCGGAGGCTTGGCTTTAAATACGATTAGATAGAAAGAACGGGGCTTAGGACCTTCGGATTCGACAAGGAGCCCAGACCTTTGCTAAAACAGCAGCAGCAGCGTTACCATTGGGTACGAATTCAACTGCAGCAACGTGTCTTTGCTTTGCAGCAAACCCGAGCAACGTTATGTGCTTGTCAAATCCAATAGGAAAATGACCATGACACGCAAGGTTACTGATAACAAAATGGGTGCTCACTGCCTTCATAGCTCGAGACAGTGGAGGTTGTGGTTTGCTTTAACAACCGCGCAAGGACGGCAAGATGCGCTCTTAAAGCAATTAGGAGATCTGTGCTGGGATGCTGACTTGACCATGAGACAGCTCAAGCACTGGGTGGGACACGAATGCATTAGTGAAGACATGTCCAGAAGGGGCTGTCCGTCCCTTCTCTACCACCAGGCGTCTTGACTGTGACTGGTGATGTTTTGGGTGAGCCTTTCAATAACGCCTGCCTGTGGGTACCGAAACAGCGGTCAGAGAGGAAGCTCAGAGGTAATTGGTAGCCTCAGCGAGTCCTGGGCAATGTCACTTATAGTGGAAGAAACGTGAATATAGCGTCGAATGGACTCAGGAAGTTGATCTTTCTGCTATAACGGAGACCTAAACGAGTGTCTAGGACATTCCGACCAATGTTTTCAGTGGTTACATGTACTACTATTCACGGAAGTGAACCATGTGATAATGAATGTACCACATTGATTTAACAGGTGGTGATACAGTGACGCCAGATATGTGAGAATGGGTGAGACAGAGAGCTGCTGGGACTACTCGGATGAATTCTGTACAGCATTGGAAGAGCTGCATCCGATATGGAAACGTATATAAATGAAGTCTTATCCTTTACTGGCCGAGACGACTGATATTCTTAGTAGCTAACCTTTGCTGTGATGCGCACGACGATGGCGAAAGTTGGATTGTTGACGAATTAGTGACATGGAAAGTACAGCAGACAGAAGAGGACGTACTCCCTTCGCCACAAGGAACTGAAGAGCAACAGCCATTGCAGCAAGAGGAGGATCCTCAGAGTAGTATAAACAAAAATGTCTCAAATTGTGCACTGTAGATATCGCTGCCAGCTTCCCTAATGTCTTGTCATGAAGTTTATCACATCAGAATTTGGCATGCTGCATAGGCCGCCAAGGGTGACCTGTTGGTCTCAACCAAAAGATTCCATAGTTCAATTCTAAATGTTGGTGATCAGGTAGTTCTGCATTCTCAGTACGACAGATTGACTCTAATTTCCGTACATACATTCCCATATCTATACACATATATGTTTTATACATTTGATTCCAACTCAGGAGCCATCGAGGTAAGTTTACAAACAACATGTGTCCGAAGTTCGACAATGTAGAATGGATGTTCTTATCTCTTGAAGGCCATCCCGTTAAGATTGTAGGTCTATGAATATGGCACCCCATCGCCTACCTGCTTCCCAGTAGGGTATTCACCAAAACAAGCCTCCTGGTACTTGGCATTCTCCTTCAAAGTCGGGACACCACTTAAGAACTTATCGACCGCGCAGAAACCATTCTGAGAATCCTCACATCCGACAAGTCCATCCAGAGGTAGTGGGGCATTGTTAAGCACAAAGCGGATGTATTTCTTTGTGTCATGCATGGACTCTAGGTGGGGGTTGACATAGAGGATTGGATCCAATGTGCCAAAAGAAACATTGCTGGGGCAAGTCCAAATCTCAGACATGAATCGTGCTCCGAACGGAGTCAGGTCATTAAGGGCAAATGTCCGGTTGGAGGGTGCATGGTCTACATTGATTGGAAGACCATGGGGACCGTACTTGAAGTGCTCAAGTCCGAGAGCGGAGATGACTGAGAGAATGATATCATCGTGGGACATATCCATATAGAATGGCTGGTCCATGGGGAACTGGGCAGTGTTGTCATCGTATGTAGAGTTGATGCTGGTGTCACTAGAGTGGATCAATTTCCCCTCAAGCCTGGCTGCGAGCTCTAAGACGTAGCCGATGCCTTGAGCACGGCCAGTTGGGGAGCCGAATGCGAAGTTGCCATAGTACTGGATGTCGACATTATAGGCAAAGTCCTTCCACTCTTGTTCAGTGAACAGGGAGCAGAAGAACGAGCCCCCTAGACTTGTGTTCTCATAAACACAAAGGTTTTGCATTGCAAGCACATCGTAGGCCGTCAGGTTGAAGTCTTCAGGAAGGTAACTGGCCAGTCTGGAGAGAGCGTTCTTGGTGTATCGAGGAATGAATACCTGTGCGGATTCATCGCTAGTTCGGAGCAAGTCAGTTAGCCTGTCTATAGTTCCGCCCTACGGAGACGGTGGACTCTGAGAGTTACTCACCCAGCAGTCTTGTCACCAAGACAAGAAACATAAGAAGCCAGAGTATTATTGAAGAAACCTGTTGTCTCTGGAATAACAACTAAATCATACTGATCATAAGAGCTATTGGCACCACTGTTGCCAAAGAAACCACCTGTTTGAATTCGTTAGATTGAATAACTTCCATCCAGAGGATGGCTGGAAAACTTACTGAGCCACCAGCGGGCGCTTTCCAGAATTCGCCCCTGGGAAGTGGTACGAAATACGGGCTTTGGTCGTGCTGTACCATTGGGATAGACATTCAGGGACTCATTCCAGGCCGCCACATTATCACGACCAGGGCGGTACAACAGCCTGCCGTATTTAATCCAAAAATCGGCCCCGGATGCATCTTCAGTAGCAGCACCGTTTTCCATCAATGTATTTTCTCCAACCACATACTCCCAGTCGTTTAGGAACTTCAGAGGGCCTTTAGCCACCATCTTTCCCGGCTTGGCTCTGGTATAATTGACCAACTTGGAGGCAAAATCTCCCATGCCTCTCCCATCTAGGAGATTGCTGGTAGGAAACCGCTCGGCATGGCGATGGAGCACATGAACTTGTGACAGCTCACAGCCCTGTGGCATACCCTTGGGAACACCGAAGCCATCCGCATTCTTATAGGGACTCAAGTTGGCCCAGCTTTTGGTCATGTCAAAGCCCGATGCATACGTAGCACCTGTTGGTGCAGATGCAGGGCTCGACGAACTGGGCGAAGCATGGGGTGCAGCAGAACCCACGCCCGCTAGAGCAGTGAGGTATACGCCAAAGGCAAGGTTCTTCATGGCGAGTATGTTACTACAGATCGCCAATCCGAAGAAGGGTGATGGTGATTATTGTTTGTATGACTTGAAAAAAGCCTGCGAGGCAAGAACACCTTTTATAACCTTTTCTCACATTACATGTGACGGCTGCTTCGCTCGGGATATTCTTTCGTACAGGTCCGGTCAACGGTCCAAAGGCACCTTTGCCGATCAATAGATTTAGATGCCCCGAATATCCCGCATTTTGGTCTCCACCGGTATAACTGTGACTAATATGAATGGGGTGCCGGGTGGACCGAGTGCGAAGCTTCGTGAGGATACTCTTTGTATACCATCACGACAAAAACCACCGACGCCATATTTATTCCGACAGATAAGTGCGACGCGCTCAGTGATATGCAGCATGCTGATCTGTTTGGAATGCAGCAGGTACATACGTTCTCCGAAGCGAAAGTATCGGGATTCTTGTCTACGCCTTGTTGCCCCGGAGAGAGACCGCCAAGGAGTCTCCACATAAATGGGGTAAACGGCCATTTATTTAATCGGAATTTTGTCTCCGTTCTCCACACTTCTCGTAAGGCAAGGTAAGTAGGGTTACATTCGGAGAGGAAATGAGGAAAGAAAAAGCAAGCCCCAAACCAAAGGTCCTGCTTACCTGGGTGGTTGAACCCGGATCGCTCAAGCTTTGCAGTCAATGCCAATGGCTTGACGCCCTTTCGCATGGTTAACTCTTTAACATTACTAATTCGCCACTGTAGAGGGAAATATTGCCGAGCAATCTCTTTGCAGCACTCCTTGAAAGCACAAGTCGTTTGCTGGGTCACGCTCTTTTCTATTTCCTCGGCCAACCGGCAGAATGGAAAGTTCGATCCGTCTAAAGTAGTATGCCTGACATAACGCCTGATTATGCATCTCGTCTCATCTACCGGGATGTTTAGTTTCATTGAGGGAGTGGGCTTATACTCCTTTGTATAGCACGCTCTCTACAATCTAGGAGAGGAAGGTCCTGAGGGAAGAGGCAGGACATGAGCAAAACTGCAGAACTTGAAGGCGACACCAATTACTTACTAGGATACAATTTATATCGACCAGTCAATGTGTCGATAGCGGATCTTATTGTAGTGTTTCTAGAAAAAATATATTATCCTCTAATAAAAATTAGAGGATAAATACTATTTCTATCGATATACTTAAAAAAAAAAAAAGAAGGTCAGTAGCAAGACATTAATATAACTGGGGCCCTGGGGGACTTAATATCTAGGAAAATATATACAATATATTAGTAATTAATAGAAATCCACCCTTAATCTCGATACTCTATAAATTGTAAGGATACTGTGTGTATAGAGTTTCGTGTAAAGAAGGAGAAAAAAAATGCTTTCATTGTAAATGACTGATCCATCATTGAGGTTGCTCCTAGATGATGAATATATCAAGGTGCTGTGGGTTTATTGCCGAAGAGTGAGTATCAGATAAGTTCACAACTTCCTTATATTATCTAGTTTCAGTTCCAACACGCACGACTTTTAGGTAGACCCAGCTGCTTATTATCACCATCGATCCTGAGCTAATTAAGATGACCTCAGGTACTAACTAGATTTAACTTTCTCTTTATATAGTGGATCGTTAAGCACAACGTTGAGAATAGACCCGTGCTTATAGCAGTTAAAGATTTGTTACTTTGCTTCCCTTCTTTTGCTCTCTTGCTTGCTAGAAGCCTCCTTCTCCAGGGCAAGTTCTGGGATAACTTCAGCCAATAGTTGTACGGCTGGTATCCTGCATTCATGGCACTAGAAGCCACCTATGCCCTAAGCTATACCTTCTAGAAATGAGGCCTGACTGACTAAGAATTCTGGTAAAGCCTACCATACAAAACGTTACGGAGCGTCATGTATAATCTAAAGGGCTCCGTAGAAAAATTGCCTGTCTACAGTAACCCGGTAACGCTTTCAAGTACTTGCCACGGTTTTGATTGCAAAATCCTAGTTCTCATAGTTTATTAGCTCGTTATCTTAACTATGTCTGACTTAATTCGCCCGAGTCAAACGTGATATCCATGCTGAACATACATCCTTGATGCCTGACAATGTGGCCCTGCCAGAGCAGACAATTTGCTAGCCTCTTCAACTTCAGTGGATTGAATCTTGTATGGCTTTTATGATCTAAACCATCACTTTTTTGGGAGTTCAGTCAGACTGCAAACGGGAACTAAGATTTCATGCTAAACGTCATGATGGTTTTTAGTAGCGACGATTCTTTATAACCACCACTATTCATACAAAAACCGTGATTCCCTTCGTTACCCATGTTCTTCGTGTCATTAGGAAGCCGAAGAGGTCGGTCTTCCACACTAAAGAGGGCTAACCCTCGTCCGACCCTCATTATTCTGACTCAATTCATTTCCATGATTCTCTTGCTTTCTGGATTGAACAGCTGCTGTGAAATTAGAGAGAAAACTTCATTAACACGCTGTTTCCCGGAGATGCTGAGTCTTAAACCTTATGCAAGGGACAGCAAATCTCTAATATTCCTTCCTTCCTGGACAAACATTGAATCGCTATGGGAATCAAACCATTTATTTCCTCTTTTCTTTCTCAAATGTGAAAGATCAGAAGGCAACCTCATAATATCCGCTTCCTTCTGTGATCGACCTATCTGGGCAAGATATTTCGCGCACTCACACACCTGTTTCTATGATTTTGACTAGCTATTGAAAGTATACCAAACTTTGTACATCGCAAGCCGCTAGCAATAATAGATAAATCCCGGGCTGTAACTTATGCGTTAGATTGCGGGGAGTTTGGACTGTGCCATAATGTCTGGTTGTTGAAGCTTGTATGAATGGGGATGGTGCAGATTCTTGACTAAGTCCACGGCTCAAAACGAGCGCGAGCAAATTTCTCTGTATGTTCATATTGTTTCAAAAGTCGCCATGGGACTGAGCTTGTTGGTAACCGCCGAGGGTACCAGAAAAGATAATGATATTCTATCGTATGGTGCTTTATTCTATTCAGCAATTAAACTCGTATAATGCCTGGTCATGTCTAATCTATATTGTATCATTCAAAGGGATATACTTATGCTCATGAAGCGATACTTCATTCATTTCTGGTGAATTCCGGAAACTGCGTAAATTGGTTTTGCTGGTTGGAATCAGCCTGAATGTTGAAAGCTTGCGACATTCCCAACCTTTGCTGCATGACGAGGTTGAACCTTGGGCTAAGGAAAGACACATACCATCAATTTCAAGGAATAGACTGTTTTGTCGGCTTTGTGTCGACTTCAGCCTTGTGGTATTGCAATTCCATCTCCACGGTCCGTGTGATAACCATAGACCTCGAGGGATTCGAGCCGTTCTGAATAAGCTCGATGTCATCGTCAAAATAGCGGCTCCTACCATGCTGCCTCGTATTGCGTGTGCCACTAGTTGGCACCCCGGAGGGTTCAGACCCCGTGAAACAGCCTCCAGGGCAATGGCGGTGCAGGAAGGGACGGAGCGAGGGAAGGCAGTCGCAGATAATGACAAGGACAGTTTCCGCATTCCTATCAACATGTTAGAGATGAACCACTACATGGACGCCCTAGAGGAAACCGTACGCCCATAGAATTGGAACTGCCATGTGGTAAGGATGGTCCCCTTCATAAAGCAAGTTGTCGACCGTGATTGCGCGAAAGATACTGGTGATAATGGTGCTACTATCCTCAGCTTTGTGCTTCTTCCGAAATTAGTAGCAATGGACCAGGAAGTACTCACATGCCACCCAAGAAGAACATCAGAGTCACTCCTAGCTTTTGCCATACCCGCATATTCAGTTTCCAGATCAGAGGGATCGGGGCGATTATCATTAAGAAATCCGTAATAACGTTTAGCACGGAACTTGCCAACATGATACTGAGGCGGTCTACACAGTGCCCTTCATTTATTGTCGGGTCCCATGCCTTAGCAACCGGCTGGCAGCCGAACAAATAGAGGAAAACCAGTATAGGTGTGGGTATGGTGATGAGGGTCGCGATTCCGTATATGCAGAATCTCCATAGCTTCACATGGGGACTCAGGCGATAGTATAGCATGATCAGGCTCAGCTTTGCGACACAAACTAATGGAATGAACGTCACGACGATTGCTAAAATCACCTTGACTGTGTTAGTCTAAAGAATCCCGTAACTTTATTGGGGGTGAGGTACATTCTTACCACAGTGAACCTGGTAAACTCACTCTCCGAGAGAGTAGCTTCGTGCTTCCCAATACCACCGTCACCGAAACCATCTAGTCTATCATGTTAGCCGACATTTCCCAGGAGTTGTCGTTAGAGTTGTAGAGAGCTGAAAGGACTTACACAGGGTTAAACCCTGCATGGCAACTGCTAACATCTATATCTGCCGTTAGTTTATAGCTTATTTCGTGGTACCTCGACAGTCTGTAAAATGCTCACCCACGCAATAATCGTGAAAACTAAAAGCTGTTAGTATATTACCATCCCTCATCAGCGGCTAGTCCTAGGCTCACCATTATGAACGCCAAACTGTCGGGTGATGAATACACTCGTATAGGTATGCACAACGAGTGACAAGGCGCCCGTAATAAGCCCGAAAATTACCAAGGCTTCATTGATTGACTCGTACGCTTCATGGGAGAGACTATTCCGGGCTTGGAGTCGGGTCCATCCCTCCAGTGCAAGCGTCCAAGCCATATATTGCAGTGGTGCATCAATCCTTTAGTTCTTGACCTGGCCCGAGTGAGAACTGTAAGTGTTTGGCACTTAAGTCTCACCAAACCCGTCTAAAGGATTGTACATGCAGAATGATGAGCGTTTATAGAAGTAAATAAATTTCGGATTGCAATGTACCTTAGTCGATTGGGGTAACAGCCCATTCTAAGAAGAGAATTTGGCACTAAAACGGCTCCCTTCTCCAAAACCAAATCCTGTGAGCCGCTAGAAGACCGCTATCAGTAAGCTATTGTTCAACTTCAGGCTATTCAAGCTTAATTAATGCTCGCTGGGCCACGTGTGGGGGTGTTACCCTCATGAAGACACGCCCGTTGGATTTGCCGAGATTTCCCCGTGTGCTTTTTCGATATCCAGCTCAGCCTATGCTAGATGTCAATCTAGTAGGTAGTCCGTGAACGGTGGATCGCACTACCACTAGGAGCCGATTCTTGTTATGCTGATCTTAATTTTTTACATTCAATCTTGGAGAGAGAGAGAGAAACAGAAGCGTGAACGGAAGGATTCAATGACGGAATTTTAGTATCATCATAGGAATCCTTCGTGGCCCCATATGCGACGCATTACTAACGTTATGCAAGGGTGTTTCAAATTAGAACATCTACCAGGGATATCATTTATGTCGACCCAGTCTATCGGAGAAATAAATGCTTACCTGATCTTCATGAAAATCTCGCCTCACCTTATCATCTGGGGTTACTCTTGTGCCCCGAAAGGAATCAAGAACGAACTTTTGAGATTGCCGCTATACAACACCAAGGCACATTACAGCCCGTCCAACAAATAGATCGAGTCTCTAATCTACAAAAGATGTTAATTGATTTGAGTTGCTCTGAAATCCTGCTGATCATGTCAAGTTGTGGTTAGATGTGTCTAACTTAAGGTGGGGATATGATTGATAGCGGACGGACCACGGCAAGGCGCTGCATTCCGTCTCCCCCGGCTAGGCAGATGGGATCCATTCTGCTATGTCCATTCCGGGATTGATTTTCCTGGCTTGCGTGCTCAAACCAGTCTGGCTGCCGACGTAGTTGACCACCTTAAAGGACTTTTGTATCCATCATCCTGTGAGCGTTGCCCGATGAATTAGGGGGGATGGCCTTTCAGGATGGGGGATTGCACGCGTCCTCGAAGTCCACAGTAGGAGACCATGCTCTGAAGAATTCAACTCAAGGGAAGGGGTTCTGTCACCTGTATTGGCAGACAAATCATTATAATGTTGTTCAGCATTGGACTAATGTGCAATTGGGTATGATCTTCCTGGTCGATATATCCTCGGGGAGCAGATATCGGCATCTTCTTGCCACCCTATGGGGTAGAGGCACAGTGCGTGAAACGAAGACGCAGAGGATAGCCCTGGGAGCGGAGAGCTGGATCGATCAAAGATGACTCTGGGGTAAAACAAATGTAAGACCAGGGCATCAGGTCGATATAAAGACGACAGCAAATCATACTCACGGGATACCGTTACGCCCGCCAGTTGCAACAAGGTTAAGTTAAAGGCCATGTCAGTGGTTTGAAGCGTAACTGTATGCAGACAGCATATAAACTCTAAAGATACTTTCGTTTTTCTCTTTAATTTTTTTTTATTTAATTTCTTTTGTTTTGTTTTTGTTTTTCCTTTTTCTTTTCTTTTGTGAGTAACTGATTTGAGTTTTATGTGGCAATGGATTTCCGTGGCTTCATACACTTAAGACGCATAGACCCATAGATCACCCAAGTGAACCTAAATTGATGAATTATCACGACGCCAATGATTCATGTGAACCGAATAACCTCCTTTGGGATCCGGAAACATGGCCATGAATTGGTCAAAATGTATTTCCACCTCGAGCTTTCTATCAAAGTCTATCGGGTCACTGGTCTGCTGCGCAACAACGACGATAGCATAAGGACAGCTAAAGCCTGGACATCCCAAAAAGGGGAGGAGGTAAATGAATATAAATATCCCCCACTCAGTATACCACTCGAACACATCCGTCACCTTTGTGGCTAATGCAGATACTAATTGCTTGCTGAGCTCCAGCCAATCGTGACTTCACAAGTCTGAAAAAGATTTTTGGACCCCTGAATGACTACAGAGTAGACACACTGCATCTCCAGAATACCGGCTGCGTGGATAGTTTGGAACAGCTTGCTTGGACGGTCGATCTTCTCGGCGGAAACGGTCAGCTTAGCCAAGTGGGTCACTTCACGGCCTTGTTCCGTGATCCCAAGACGGTTGGCTGGTGACGCCTACACTAGTAGATAGTGTCTAGTATCTACTAATCATAAATGTAAGACGGGCGCGGTGACCACTTTCCTAAAAGGAGTGATTCAACGCAACCAACATTTTCATACCCCGTAGTTCTCCCGTCGTGGATGTCGCGCCATTAGGGTTATTGAACGGGAACCCTTGAATCAACTTTTTTTTTCTCCTGGTGGATTTTCTCCTTTGTCACGGTTCTTGCGCCAAAAAAAAAAAAAAAAAAAAGGAAAAATTTTTTCTTGGGTTGAAAAATAGAAAATAGAAAAGGGACGGGCGGGTACATGTTTCAGTTGCAAGAAAATTTTCCCGCAGGATTCATCTTGGCTAGTCTGCCCTAAATTCTAATATATTTCAGGCAAGCTCCTGATCCACTGGTAACTGCCCGAGCTAATCGCGTCCAAAGAGGTTAACCTCGATAGACATTCCTTTTTGACTTCAGGATTCCCTGTTTTCTTGTGGTTTCTGTGATCGGGCTTGCTTGCCCGATAGAGTACCTTGGGTTTGTTATCTTCGTAGCATTCATTACCTTTCACAAGGGCCAGGTGGCTGGATGTCCTTTGGGACTGCGTAAGCGTTGGAGCTTGGCCATTGGGTCTACTGAAAGTTTGGGTATAACCATAGGCATTACCGGTGCCCAAGCCGAATGTCGGCGTATTCGCGACGATGCCGAGTTCAATGGAGATCCGAGTTGATTCGGGTTGAACCCATCAACTCCGGTCCGGTCAGCGATATATCATATGAATGGCACGATGTCTCATAAGACAGGGGTGTAGTATCATATGCATGCAGGATTTAGCCTTCCCTACAACTGTGATGCATCCTATATTTGTTCACCCCACGATGCTTGGAGAACATTCGCCACTAATTATCCTTGGCTCCACGTCTCGCCAGTAGTTCACCTGGAAATCGACCCTCACTGCCAAGATGGGGTTCCCCCTGCGTCGTGCCAAGACTGCTGAAGCATCGGAAATTCACATCTTGGTCGAAGGTGACGCTGTTGTAGGACATGAGTAATAGTTCAGTTTTTCTTTGAACGTTTTGTATGGTATAAAAGCACTATGGAGTACTATTGTTTTAAAATTTGTCTTTCGAATAACGTACAAGTCCTGACAACAGTCAAGCTTTAGAAAAAAAAAAAATGCCAATATGCGTAAGGCTATCTATCTATCACGTTGCCCATCTGTTCAGCTTCTCCACCAGACTAGCTATGGTCATTGGTGCCCAGGGAGCTTTGAAATCATTACTCAGCCTTCTTAGAGGCTTTTGTTCTCAGCTTCATGAACAGATACACCAAACCATATGAACTGAGAATGAAGATCACAAAAATGCCCACGTCTCTCCAGCCAAAGTAGTAGTCGTTCAAGTTTATGGTCTTCAAATAACCGCCTCCGCTCGTATAGGGACAGACACGGCATTCGGAGCGTGCCTCGGGATTGACCAGGTTTGCGTCAGACTCTTCTAGATACGAAGACAGGTACTCCAGACATGTCATGTTGGAAGGTGGGTTAAATATGGCGAACTCCGACTCAGCACACTTCACATCAACATCGAATATGTTGAACACCAACAGGCTCCCAACTAGATAAGTGAGAGGGTTCATGTAATACATCCAGTATCTCCAGAATGGAATAATCTGATCGTATGGGACCAATATACCACAGAAAGAAACCATGATTCCGACAAGGAGAGGATTGACCAGTGCGGCAAAAACAGCATTTGGTGAGTAAGCTGCGACAAATTGACCGATTCCTGTGTATGAGAACTCATACAGGACTACAACAAATAAAGCGGCCCCAGCCTTTTCCGAGGCTGCTGGGAAACCGACAGTATAGTACCAACAGAGGAAGTACAGCACGCCGCAGACACAAAGATATGGGAACTCGGACACAATAAGGGCCGTGACGAATGCTTTCCAGGAGTACATCCTTGATTTCTTTTCCCGTGCATCGTATATATCCCGTCTTTCAATGAAGAGGGGCTGGAGCTGATTCACCACGCCCGGGGCAACAAACATGAACACGAAAATAGTGAACATGCGAAGCTGCATGTCATTTACAGTATCCCCAATCATCCAGTACGAAAATCCATTGAACAGGGCCAGTCCAATATGCAGGTATATCTTATTGTTCACATAGTTCGTATTCCGAAAGAGTGCGATATTCATACGGCGCAGGACAATTTTAGTTTGGTACCAGAGTGGTGTCGCATACTCGTTGTTATCAGCACTTGAGTTATTCACTGGTTCTCTTGAAGCGGTGTCTCGAATAAGCCTGTCGAGCTCAACCATTGACTGCTGATACTCTGGCGACTCTACCCATACACGGTGCCAGTCAATATTCGAAGCTCGACCTGAAACGACGTCGATCATATGGTCTGCAGGGTTCATTTGACTAGGGCAAGGCGATCCATAGCGGTTGAAGTATTCTTTGAGCGTGCTGGCATTTTCTCCGATCTCTCCAAAGTAGACAGTTTTGCCACCTGGGGCCAACAATAAAAGGGTGTCAAATTGGTAGAACAACTGGGCCGACGGCTGATGGATGGTAACTAAGATGGCTTGGCCCTGGTTTGCAAGCTTTCTTAGAAATCGCATAGTGTTAAAGGCAGACTGCCCATCAAGGCCCGACGTTGGCTCATCCAGAAAGATTAGAATACTAGGCTTGGCGACCAATTCGACGCCTATAGTAACACGCTTCCGCTGCTCAATGTTTAAACCGCCTGCGTTAGGCTTTCCTATGAGAGTATCCGCAATGTCTCCAAGTTCGAGAAGGTCAATAATGACATCAACGTATCCGAGCTTTTCCTTTTCAGAGGTGTTGGGAGGCTGCCTTAAAAGAGCAGAGAATTCCAATGCCTCTCTAACGGTTGCATAGGGCTCATGAACATCAAGTTGCTCACAATACCCAGCCGAGCGCTGGAACGAAACTGATAGAGGCCGGCCGTCCACCATGATTGACCCTTCAATTTTACCTTCTGTTTTCCTCTGGGCAAGGACGTCCAATAACGTAGTCTTCCCTGCTCCAGACGCGCCCATTAGAGCACCTAGCATACCAGGTTTTACCCATCCATGAACGTTATCCAATAGCACACGGGGCCCAGACGGAGTCTTTACAGTATATGTTAGGTTCTTCCAGGTGAAGATGGAGGTATTTTTAGCCAATTGCGCCTCAACAGCAGGTTTCGGGAAGGGTGGCGAACCATCCATTTTCTCTTGACTATGGTGACCATGGCAATACTTTTCTAGCGCTTGAGACTCCTCATCATCAAGACCCAGCTGCAGATGATGAGCCAGTCTTTCCCTAGGAATGAGAAGCTGTGCTCCGGACTCAGAAGGGCTTTTCCACATCATGGTTGCACCGATCGTAACCCCTACATACAAGGCCCACCAAGCCCAGAGAATACCGAAGTTCCGCCATAAGTGCGTATAGCTGTATGATAAAGCACCCAGATATTGTTCCCCAGTTAATGAGGCGAACCCTGGGGTTGAACCTCTCACCCCAGCGCACGACCGATATGACATACTCACATTCGCGTAGCTTTCGCCATGAGGGATCAAGTTGCCACCGGTACAGTCGATCTCTCGATCACGGAACTCGTTACTCATCAAGCCATCGAAAGCGTACGCAACAGGGTTAAGCCAATATAACCACCCAAACCACGGCCGCATTTGGGTGTATTGAATCTGAAAGCCTGCGTACATGGCCATAATTGTCACCACGTATCCTGAAACTTTGGAGGCACCATCAAACGTTCGGAAAACCGCACCGACGGCACGGAATAGAGCAGTAGAGCACATCGCACATGCGAAGAGGACCACGAAATACGTAAAGAACGCACTGGCAGACATTTTCAGGCCAACCATAAAATAGAGGATTACAGACCAGAGGCTGATCTGAAAAATTGTGATTGGAATATCCGCAGCTATCTGTCCAATGCAGAATGCAGCCGGTTTGCAATATGCAAAGGCGTCGTGTTTCACTACCATGGGTCTACCAGAGAAGGAATCGACAACCTCTGACATGGCGCTCATACTGTTGTAAAGGATGGACCAAAACAGAGCGCCGGATTTGAGAAAAAGCCCAGAAGTGTCGGGTTTCACCTGGTAATACATCGAACCGGCTACTAAAGCCTGTATCAAAGTCGAGCCTTGCTTCATGGCAAATGTTTTCTTATCGCCGAGTAGCACCTGGTATTGTCGAATAATACAAGCACGTACTTGCGTCACAAAGTGGACAGTGTTTGCGCTTCTTGAATGGTACTTCTCGAGAGCGACGGATTCTTTGAAATCTTTGGTGCGTTGCTGCGACAGCTCGCTGGTAGGATAATCATATTCAGAGGTCATCTGAGCTTTTATGCTAGAGTTGCGGTAGGATGTGGCAATGGCTTCCGCGTTCCGGGGAAATATGGATTCATACCCAGAACGAATTCGACGCTCCAAAGGAACTGTAACACTAGTCAGATAATCTCCAATATTAGCACCCTCGCTGCATTCGAACCCGAGGCTCTCCATGAATTGTTGTGCTTGGTTAGCAGGCCCATAATAGATCTGCTTCCCCTCCTCCAAAACAAGCACTTTGTCAAAAAGGCGGAAAATATCATTTCCAGCCTGGTATAGTGTTGCAATGATCGAGCTGCCATGGACATCCGCCATCGCACGCATCATCTTTGCCCAGTCCAATGCACTTGCCGCATCCAGACCCCTAGTACTGTTATCCCAACAGTAGACAGACGCGCTAGATGCTAGGCATTCTAGAATTGAGACACGTTTTCGTTCCCCCCCAGAAACACCACGAACATATTCATTGCCCACTTTCGTTTCTGCCGTATGGGATATACGGAGACTCTCTAAGAGGAATTCCTTCATCTCTGCACGGTACGCCTCTGCATTGACAGCATCCCCAGGGAGATGAGCGGGTACCTTCAGACGAGTAGCAAAATCCAGGGTCTGTCCCACAGTCAACGTGGGGAAGAAGATTTCTTCCTCTGTATTCATAATGACCTGGCCTGCGTAATTCTCCGCAGCCTCCTCATGGCCCATACTACCATACCACACGTCACCCTCTATTTCTTCATAGCCCGTCCTTCGATTGGCAAGCATCTTCAAGAGTGTTGTACATCCGGATCCAGGGCGGCCGAGAACCAGCAACATCTCTCCTGGTTTAACGCATCCATGGCTCTGATGAAGTATTGTTTTCAATGGTATGCCTTGTCGGCGTTTCTGCAGACGACTAAGGATGTTAAACTGCGAAAAGACATTCTCATTAATTGTTGCTTCGGCGCTTTTGGCTTTCACAGTCAATTCACTCCAGGTGACTCCAAGTCGTCGGGGTTTGTAGCCGGATTTTAAACTTCGGTTCAAAATATCTTCGAATTTAGAAGCCAAAGGACTAGCCTCGGCCTCGGTCATAGAAGACTTGTATTCCTCTGGAGTCCAGTTTGTGGTTGAGGATGTAGCGGTCGAACTTTCCATGGCTAAAGGCGGCCCTATGATACTCGAGAACGCTCAACATAGGCCGTACATTACTGAGAAGAGAGTAGGTGGAAGATACAAGAATTAAATACTCAATGAACGCGAAAAGAAAGAGAGAAAAGAACAAGGCACCGTAGCAGCCTGTTTAAATGTTGCATTCTGGCTGGTATTGGCGCCTGGCCCACATCGTTACAAATAATCAGTAAAAGCTAGTCACCAAACTCCGATAAATGGGTCTAATAGGTAAAAGAAACGCTATATCGCACCAAAATGCCTAACGATCAACGTGGGATAGGACATATTGGTTGCTCGGATTGTGAGTCGGACTCTCGGACAGTCGCATTCGGATCCACAAGCAGCAGCCAAGGAATTTGGCGAGTGATTAGTGAAATGGCACCGATATACTCGGACAAAATCTGTATGGTTATATATGTAGCTTGCCCTTTCAATCGCAGCTCTCGTAGTATATGATCCGTTTTTCTTTCGTCTTATTTTCCTTGATGCATGTATGATAGGAGACCGAGGATATGTTAAGGATCGCAAGTTAAGTTGTTGATAAGAGAATAAAAATGGCTAAACCCATATGGGAAGGCGGTCCTTCACGCCAGGAACAACCCTCGGAACAAGCCTTTTTAAGGACTAGTACTGCATTTGAAAATGTTCCGAATGTCCGACCACTTTTCTCGAAAATTAATTTCCGAGATTCCCGAAATGCTGACAACAACATTGGGGACAGTAAACTGAGAATCCTTCCCTATGAAATTATATTCCTTCAGGTAGAACCATAGAAGTCAGCTGACACCTGATGGCCGAAACGTCCGGTATCTCGCCCTTGGCATCACTCCGCAGACTCCCAGCTGTAAGCATTGCTATATTTCTCTGCCAGTTTTTGTACCCACACCAATCGTGATATGCCATCCCGAGGTGCTTCAAAGGAATTGACGCACTAACGAATATGTTTGTTCTTCTCTCATACTTTTAGTGTGACCTATGCCACGCAAGGAAGGTAATTAGCAACTTCAATAACTACTGGTAGTCAATTGCAGTAGCTGTGGTCATTACTGTACTGTCACTGAGTATATACATACCGTGTCTGACGCCAGTTTCCGGAGACAGGTTAAGTGCGACCGGCAGCCACAGTGCCATGGCTGTTCGAGTGCGCAAGTCCCATGTATTCGTGCGAGACCCAAGCAGACTCGCCGTACTCGAGTCTCCCGGTACGTGTGGCAACGCACTTATTACAGAAACATTTCTTATACATTGTGCTGTACAGTTTTCGAGGACCTGGGGATTCTAACCAAAGCAGCAGAAATAGAGGCGTTGATGAGCTATCTCGTAAAAGCCCACCTAATCCGGGGATCAGCCTGGGTGGACATGGTGCTTCTCGAGGATCATCTTCAAGCACCTTAGAAGGAACCAGACAAGTGAGACACAAAACGACTCTGCCCGTTGAAGCCATCCGCTCTACTGCGTATGTATATCAAGCAAACGAGGTCAATATAATCCGACGTGAACTAGACTCGAACTCGTCCCTTTCCACAAGCCGTAGGCATGTGTTGGAGTCTGCCCTATCTTTGATTGGTGACTTTAGCAATCCCTCACATTCAGTCGAAAGCTCAAGCTATGATCAAGAGCTAGATGATGATACACCAGATAATGTGGGACTTCCAGAATTGTTCTTCATGATGATGAATCGTAAGTGCCCTGCTTCAGTCCCTTTTTAGCCATGAGACTTAAGTTTATCCAGCTTGTCCCGATTATTCTACGCCATGGAAACTTCACTGGCCCGATCACATATCTCTTGAGACGTTTGAGACAATGTGTCTGGCGGTTGTGAATGGTCAGGCGACCGGTCAGATAGCATCTCAATATAAAGTCTGTATATTTGCAAGAGCAGTCACCTACATTAACAGATGGCTGCGTATATGTACGTCCAGCGAACTGGCGCAAGCCCTAGAAGCTTCGAAGAAGAAGTATATAACGGCTGCCCTCCGGTCAATTCGAGAACTTGATATTCTGCACAAACCGAGCCTATTGATGCTCCAGTCCTTGCTTTCGGCAGTGAGTATAACTTAAGATACAAACTCCTGTGTATCAATATATCTATGATTACTCTTCTAACAACTTAGTATTGGGTACTAGGTCAACCTGATGCAAACTTTGGGTGATACTACTCAAGCTTGGACTTTGACGGCTTTCGCATCGAGACTCCTGGTGGCACTGGGTTATCATAACGTGGACTCAAGGATGCTTGAAGAGTGTGACAGGTCTCATGAAATACGTCGCTGTATACGATGGTGCTACTACTTTGATAAGGTTCTGAGTATGCTTCTAGTGCGACCACCATCCTTGCCAGCGCTGAGTGTTGAGCCAGCCTCGTTGCTTCTATCAAGGCAAGCAGACCCTTTAGATATGAAAGGCAATATTTTAATTAAGCTGGCGCATGTGCTGGATGGTGCCCTTTCTGTACTGACGCCTGGTGATGGAATTCCTGATAACCAGACTCTGGGAACCATCACTCGCTTAGAAGTCGAATTACAAGACATATGGGAAGAGCTGTGTGAGGTATGCATCCCCCTTCTTCTTCTCACCAGCCATCCTAATACCGTCTAGGCAAGAGCGAAATCAAGTGACACAATAGAACTGCGCTTGGAATGGGATGCAGTGGACTTCACCTATCATTCTATCATAACAACAATCTTGCGACTCAATTCGGTTTCCTTACATGACCATCGTGTACGTGAACGCTGTTTATCTCATGCCCGCAGAGCATTACGTTCAATGAATGTGCTGCAATATCATATTTTGCGGGGTGAACAGATTTACCACGATTTTGTGTTCTGGTATGTATACCCCCTTTACTCGTCAACAGAGATTATGGGAGATCGACGGCTAAATTTTCCCACATACAGGACCGTACTTCTCTACCCACTTACGCCTTTTTTCATCATCTTTTGCAATGTCATTGCGACATCCAATCGCGAGGACTATAATCTTTTAACCCAAATAACAGCGGCCTTATCCCGCATCAAGGAGTGTAACCCTTCAATATTCCGATTGCATGGGCTGTTTTCACAGTTCACAGCCTTGTGCGATCAGCTTTATGAGACCATTGCTCAGGATGCTTCGCAGCAGCATGAACAATCCATGGAGGCAATCAGAAGCCAGCACACTGCAGTTGCTAACTCTAATGATGTTAACATATCGGTATATCCTCAACTCCATGAATCGCTTACGGCAAGGGCACACAGCAGTGATAGCACTCAACTAGGAAGCTCAGAGCAACAGGTGCTGTATTCGCATGCACTCGATCCTGGGTCTAGTGCGGAAGGGATATCTCAGCAACCTTCGTCAATGTGGGATGACGGGCTTATGTGGGAACTTTTCAATATCCAGCCAACTGTTGAATGGTTTGATGCGGGGTATAAAGATAGCGCGACTGGGCTATGATATGATATTACAATGAATATGCGCAAATATGACCGTATAATTGATACTAGATTGCATGGAACAGAAGTGGGCACGGGAAACACATATATGGTATAAATAGAGATATACACAGATAGCTTCATGGTTTTGTACGTGACCAAGTGTTCTAGTACCCATTCTTCCCGTCATAAAGACCCCAGAGAAGCCCGAAAGGAGTGGTATGCAGATATAATACATTCATCCCTGTGTGCGGTGACTAATAGTGACATCCCGATAAGCTGCTTCTATCAACATTTCTAAAAGCTGATATATCTAGGTCGCATCTACATAATATCTCCACTATGGCCATGCGGCCCTCTTTCGCCCAGTACGATATTCCCACGGGCCTCATGGGTTACTGAGATGTGGACGCTCTTGACAATAGTATTACCACTGACCCGCGTTTCTGAGGCCAAGGGTATGAAGGGGCCATCATCGCAGCCAGTGGATGACAGGCTGAGCTTCTTCGTTTGCCGAGACCGCCTCCACGACCTTGTTTTCCACTGTCGACAGTTATCGTTATTGCTAATGCCTAGTGATTTTGAGGCATCTTCGGTATATGCGAGGCCCTGCTCATCTTCGTAGACTGCTACGAACATCTTTAGAGATGAAACGGTAAGCACGAGAACACTAACACCAAGATGGATTTGAGCGACTATTGTCGCGTACGTTCCGGCCAAAGTTGGATTAGGCGACTGTATCTGCTTCTGGACAAAGTATAGATGGATGGCAGAGAGAGGAATGAGGCTAAAAACGTTTAGAATATGGGTCAGCTGTTAGTAATGAAAGGATTAGAAGTTAAACATACATAATGCGGCAGCTGAGAATCGTGAAGATGATGAATTTCTTGAATGGAGAAATTTGAACTTTATAGATAATCCCCGCCGGATAGGCTAGGATAAATGCTTCAAGAACGATATCTAGGGCGCAGATAACCTTCCAACGCAGTAGCTATAAGTCATAAGTCAGGTCGATGATAGTCGAAATGGTTTTTATAGCAATACGAAGTAGACCTGTAATTACTCACGAGACCAGCGCAGTGATTATCAATATCCTCCCACGGGCTCTCACTGCAACGAGCCCCCAGAATGGTTATTGCGAGAACAGTCCATACCGAACAAGCAGAGAGGATGGCATAGTTTGCCCGCATAGAGCGACGGATGGAGAGGTTCCGATAAAAGACCATCGAGCAAATTTTCGACAGACCGACGACAAGGATATAGAGCAGGTCCGCTACATAGACCGTCTGGAACTAGTGAGCATCGATACGTAAATCCATAGCTGTCTCTAGATTGACATACCTTCAGCATCGGCGTGCAGTTCTTGTCCGAAACCATACCTCGCATTTTACCCCATCCATAGTGAACGGAGGTTAGAGTGACAGAGACTTGCACGCATGCACATATCTGTTAGGAAATGTGTGAGCGACCGAGCCTATCTGATGTAAGGCAAACAGGGGTCGAGAGAAAAAATGCCTTTCCACGACGCATACCACTGCTGTGAGAAGTACGTAATCATCATTCAGCACGGATGATCTTTTTGAGGCAACAAATGCACGGATTGAAAGAGAGGCCAGGGTTAGAAACGAAGCTAGCGAAGTGACCACAACAAGTAAACCGCTATGATCATAGTCAGTGTCTGCTGCCAGAGGAGGCGAAATCTCGGATTGGAGGGGACTAGATCGAGCTGGCATTGTACTTGGTCGAGTTGAATGGGATTTATATGAAAAGGTTAAGGTCGGTGTGGTATCCTGATATATTCAGGTTGAGGTTGGCCCTCCTAGGGTCCCCCTAGAAGACAAGAAAGGTACGGAAGCATGAGACTTTGACCGCTGACATGTTTAGAATCCATTTCTTTTTCTATCTTACAGCAGAGTCTGACCTACAAGGGCTCCGAGCTTCCACCGCATACTGTCCCTGTCACATCGACAGCGCACAGATGGTGGTTCACAGTCTATTCGTGCACACGTGTGTGCCAACAATTTATTTGTTGCACAATTGGTAGAAGGGTGCCATCGCATGTATTAGGCCATTCTAGCCCTGGACGATGAAGCTGTGAAGGATTTAACCCGCAGTCGATCATCTCCAACCACGGCCTGAATCTCGAGCTACTATCGGTATGGGTAGCAAACAAATCGAACATCACTGGGCAACTACGTAGGACAAACGTCTTTGGACTAGGATTCAATGCGGTTAGTCATTCGTAATGAGTACGAGACGGTTCATTATCTTATTTGCTTTTCCTTTTTTGTTTTTTATTGGCAGCGCCAATATGCCGCGTGTTGTCTTGGCCAGGGCATGTAAGAAACGACGGAGAGGAACGGTCCGAACGGAGGATATTTAGGGATATCGCTCTTTGGGATTGTTCTTCTCGAGTATTGAATACTTATCTGGACCTATTGATGGTCAAAAGCCGGATAAGTCCTTTCTACCCAGTGAAACTTGGGTTGGTTGCGAACATGGTGGCTTCTTCATTGACTGACTCGGGAAAGAATTAGGGTTTGGTCCGGTCAGCCACCAATTGTCTTACTATATTTACCATGACTCCCTTATCTTGAATTCCACTCGCGACCGGAATATAGAAGAAGTCCATGCAATTATAAACTCGTCAGTCAGATCCCCCGTATTGTGGTTCGGTATGTCGCACATAGTAGGCAAGCATGCAGATCGAGTGGCCGGGATGACCCTACTTCTGTCCTTCCGTCTCGAATGATCTCTTTTCGTCTCCATAACAATGAACAAAGTCCTTCAGCGGAACTTGAACATGTCAGGGGCATAAGGGGAAAGGGGGTAACTTAACGTGGACTCTTTGTTCTAGCATAGTTGGCGGTATTGCCAGGATTGATACAGTTTTCACCGAAGCATTCTTCTGTGAGGTTGGACAATCCATGAGGTGTGACAGCAAACATACAAACAAAACATACTGATTGCACTCTTACTGTCCTGATATCACTAACCGTGACAGATAGCATGCTACAATACCTCACCCTTCAGTCGGTATTTGATTTCTTTCTGCTTGACTTAGTTCCTGATTCAGTTACCATTTCAGTGTTTGAGGATGACAACTACCACTGAATCTGCTCCTAACACACAAAAGCCGGGAGATCTTATCTCGGCTACTGCGTCTCGGAATATTGACATGGAGGACAATAATAAGGATGGCGAAGAAATAGGGACCCGGTATGACCAGAGCGACATGACGCGCATGGGTAAAATCCAGGAACTCAAGGTATGCTGATAGCACTCATTGAATAGCCGCGTATCATGGACTAAAACATTGGCGATGAATGCTACTGTAGAGAAATCTTCGCCCACTAGCTGCTCTAAGCTTTGCATCGGTACTCCAGGCGACCTGGCAATTTCTCCTGATGTGCGAGATTCATTTTGGGTCTTCCAATGATGGAAGCTAGCTGACGCTATAAGCACCGATTAGAGGAAACACTGAAGCGCTTGTGAACGGCGGCAGGGCCGGTTTATTCTGGACGTACATGTGGACCTTTGCTGGATTCGGGCTGATTATTCTAACAATGTCCGAAATGGCCTCAATGCAAGTGAAACTACGATCTTATTTGACATCTCAATCGCATCTGGACTGACAAATGTGGAAAATGCAGGTCCCCTACTTCTGGTGGTCAGTACCACTGGGTTTCCGAACTTGCATCTCCCCACTATCAACGTGTTTTGAGCTATATCACAGGTTGGATGTCGGTACTGGCATGGCAGGCTGGCGCAGCGTCGGGCTCATTCCTGACCGGCACGATTATACAAGGGTTGATCAGTGTGAAAGACCCAAGTTATAAGCCTGAGAATTGGCAGGGCACGCTGTTCGTTTTTGCGATGATCCTAGTTATCTACTTTTTCAACGTCTACGCAGCTAGTTGGATGCCCCGTATTCAAAACCTGCTATTAGCATTACACATTCTTTGCTTTGTGATAGTCATAGCCGTCCTGTGGGCAATGGCCCCACGGCGACCTGCGAGCGCCGTATTCCTGGAATTCAGCAATACCGGTGGGTGGTCTAGTATGGGATTGGCCCTAATGGTTGGTCAGATCTCTGCCATTTATGCCGGACTCAGCTCCGATGCCACGGCCCATATGTCCGAGGAAGTTCGCGACGCCGGTAGATATGTGCCGATCGCTATCGTCTGGGGCTTCTTTACCAATGGTGCCATGGCTATTGTCCTGGTAATTACCTATCTGTTCGCCATGCCATCCCTGGAAGATGCCCTAGACGACCCAACCGGCTTCCCTTTTATCTATGTTTTCAAGAATGCCGTTGGGACTGCGGGAGTGAATGGCCTCACGGCCATCATCCTCATTCCAGTCATTTTTAGCAACATCCTCTTCAATGCATCAACAGCGCGCCAAACCTATGCGTTCGCTCGTGACAAAGGCCTGCCGTTTGGCAAGTGGATCTGCAAAGTCAATCCGAAGCGGAAGCTGCCCGTGAACGCTATCGGACTATCCTGTGTCATCAGTGGCCTCTTAGCCTTGATTAACATCGGCTCCGACACGGCGTTTCACGCCATTATGTCTCTCAACGTGGCAGCACTCATGTGGACATATGTGGTGTCAATCAGTTGTTTACTATATCGCAGGCTGTGCTGCCCAGAAACACTACCTCCACAACGGTGGAGTATGGGGAAATATGGAATCTGGGTGAACGCAGCAGCCCTGGTGTATGTAGTATTTGCTTTCTTCTTCTCGTTTTGGCCCACCAGTACTCCAGTCACCCTCACCACTTTCAACTGGAGTGTGGTTATCTTTTTGGCTGTTTTCATCATCAGTGTGGTGATGTATATTATCAAGGGACAAAGGGAATATGCCGGGCCGGTGATATCTGTGAGACGTGACGCAATGCCGCAGGCTCGGGTCAACCGACATGGCATTCGTCGAGAGATTTAGCTTTGGGGGACAAGTCAACCACGTCTATTTGTTTGCTTCTTTCGCTGCATTTCTTATATCATTAGGCCAGCGGCCTACTTCGGAGGCTTTCTTCCTGTTGCCGGTCAACTATGAAAAGTATTGCCTGGATTAACTATGTATCGCAAATCAAGACCCAATAGAGGATACATCTTTCTCGATTGCACTTGTTACAATATCGTGTCACATCGTCACCGTGAGTCATTGGTATTCATAGTGACTTCCCCAGCGGATCTGCCCTTTGCCCGATGCCTTGCTTAAAGTGCTCTGTACTTTGGCGAATTACATCTTGCTCAAATACACGGCTTTTCCTTCTTTTCTTCCTGGAGGTTTACTCCTGCGTAATAATTACCCCGTGATGTAGAAAATCGATTCCATCATAGATTGCACTGTAGTGGTAAAGTGAAAACGGGGAATAGAGATTGTATTTAATGAATAGAATGCAAAGCAAAAGAGTTAATTTGATCTTGTAACAGCGTAATGATCGCACCTCCAGGAATGACTCATGTACCCAGGGGGTTAGACTACACAATATAACAACATGATATCCCTAGGTGGTCGATTTCAAATGGTCACATCACCTCATACTTTGGATAGCCATGGTTGAGCGACAGCTCTATGAGGTAACCCTATCGACATAGAAGACCCAAGTCATCGAGATGGAGAAGCTATTTAAAAAGCCCTGTCTCCCTTTTCTATGCAGCTCTCTCATCTTACATATCCATCATACCAGCCACAATGTCCTTGATATTCATGGCCATGTTTTTGAGCCTGGGACTCAGTTCCCCACTGGCCATTCGCCAATCCTGCCATGTTCAGGATGTAGCCCACACCTTCTACGGATTTCCCGACAATGATCCTCCCGGCTGTGCGATCGCATACGATTGCGGCCGAGGTCTGACGGCTGGGGGAGTTGGAACCTTCAACGACCCGTTAACCTTCGCCTCAGCCCCGGGCGAGTTTCAGATCTGCGAAATCATCTATGACCCTTATCTGCGCAAGTATCTTCGCATGGAGGATTTCTGTGACTCCTGCAATCGGAACTGGGCCAACAAGGTCTGGCATATCGATATCTGGACAGGCTCCAGTGCTGCCAATGGAGGAAACGACCAGGTTAATTGTGAAAACCGGTTGACCCCGACACCACAGCACAAACCTATCATCCGAGGACCGGGCCCTAATCAACCTGTGGACGGTAGGTGCTTCTTTCTTTGTTACGACAGATCCTTTTGTCGCGGGTGTTATTATATATTGACTGACTATAGCTACACCCCTCTATGTTACGTCCGTTTGCAACGCTGGGGGCGTATTTCCTAGTTATGATGCTCAGAGCTTTTGCTAAATATTATCGCACTGGAAGAAGCCCCAACGATGTGAAAGATTTATAAACAAACTGTCTTTACTATATATTCGCTCGAGAAGCTCATGTTTCTTGCTCTCATGGGTATTGTTAGTAAAGAAAACTATATAAATATATTAAAGAAATATTAAATGCTTTGCTGTTATGTCTGAACAAAATCCTATATAAATGAAAAATTTGAAACTAGTATGATCTTATTTTGCAGTAGTCTTAAGGTCATCACCTTTTTGAACCATCAGCACTCAGATGACCTTCACTAGATGGGCCAAATCCCTTAGTTCGTACAGCAACACACTCATATTGCTTTTATGGTTGTCATGGCATGATCACTATGTCGAAACTACCTGTTTGCTATGTGGATCATGACAGATAATGTGATCACTATTGACCGTTGACCATTTGATTTGTGTGGGTAATTAGAAAGTTTTCGAGGGTATATCCACAGTTCTTTATTGAAATTTCATATCCGGCATAGCTGAAGCTTCGTACTTTAGTGCGTTTCTTCGATTGAATGAATGAATGAATGAATGCTTTGCCCTCCCGATGGGGCACCGGGCAACAAAAACCCTATCTCAGGGTCCTCAATAAGCATGCCCCGCAATTGAATGCTCAATCGACATTCACCACGAGTAGTTGCTCAAGAGTATACTTCTATAATGTTCGGCTCACTATTGACTCCATTGATACCCAATAAGGGAAAATGATGGTTGGTTGGAATAAGTCAAGTCCTATATAAACCCTGCCGCTCTTGTCCCGCCGAGCATTCCTGCATGAATTAACTCCCACATGAACCAGTACGACATCGTTTCACAAGAGAAGAAAGAAAAATGCAGATCCACCAGCTAGTCTTCTTCTCCCTTGCTGCACTTGCGGCTTCTGCGCCTGTTTCAGAAGAAAAGCGCAGTGGCATTCTAGATGGTATTCGAACAGTTCTTCCTCATCTTGTGTTACATTATCATCGACCCTGACCACTATAAATGCAGGCTACGAGTCAGCCGGCGATATGGACTTCCCCAACGCCCCCAAGAATGAGCCCACCAAAGAGCCAGACAGGATGTTTAACGGGATTTGGATACCCCATACCATAGAGTGGAAAATCCCACCTCATATACGCTCTGAAGCTGAAACGGACTTGTCAGCCGGTGGCGGCGAGGAAACCGGGGTCCATATCGAGGACCAGTGAGGCTGGATTTGGTTTACCAGGAGAGCGCTGAGGAGGCTCTCCCGCGCAAGAAATAACGCATCTCTGGAGAGGGGACTGATACACAATGTCGATTAGGAGGTAATGTGGCTTGCATGAGCATTGTTGCAAGTACGAAAGAGCTAAACCCCATCCAGAAGAATGGTAGCAATCCTTTCATTGACGGCTTCTCATTCTCAAAACTGTGTCCTGGTCAGGATGCTGATATGGAACTAAGCTCATAGCTTGTAGGGATATGTTCCTCTCAAATTGCTCCCTTAATGCTTGTAATGCATAGACAATGCCATGGGCTATAACCTTTTGTGTTTATTTTTAAGTGAAGGTTCAAGAAACAGTGGTTTTACTTTTGATGGTAAACCTAGAAGCTGCCTAAATCCCTTTGAACGGACTTCCCATGAAACCTTTGCCAATTTACCACAAGGGTCAAAGATCCATGTGTAGTCCATTAAATAAGGAGTATGTCTCGCAGATCTGTACCACATAGCTCACGAGTACTAGGCAAAGACTTGGCTTGGGAAAGGGTCTCATAAACCTCAGGGTTAAGCCACTAGACAAAAGGTGGTACTGACCTCCTGAGACGACGCTCGACAACCAACCACACTGGCGTATCTCCTTGTGCAACCGTGCCACATAATCTCACAACAAGCGCCGCCACACATGAGCTATCAAATACTTCAGGTCTAGAATCGCCGTCTGTTGCTCGATTTCAATTGACTTTAATTCAAAACAACGATGATACTACGCCTAAGCGCTCAATACGAAAAGGGGCGTGTTTCAGACAGGTTTCTTTATACTTTAACTTCATAGCCACTTGATTCAAGTTATTTGTATAAATATCGGCGAAGTTCTCACCATGTTCACTATCAGAAACAGATTCAAACACCAAAGTCCTCAAGTCCTCGAGTCCGCAAATACATCAGCCAAATATTCTTCTTCTATCACAAGAACTCCAACTCCAAAATGAGATTTCAACAGTTAGCTCTCTTCGGCTTGGTTGCTCTGGCAGCTGCGGTTCCTCTGTCTGCGAAGGACAACCGCGCCGTGCTTGCATCGGGTATATCCATTTCCATGCACCTTTCCTAAAAACCTCATGTTCCAATCAAAGCTAACTTAATCATTTAATGCAGAAGCCTCCCTATCTCCTAAGAATAGGCATAGAGATATCTCCGCTCGGGCCACTATTCCTGGTCTCAGGGGCGACAAAGTCAACTTGATTGTTCGCGGTGAGACAGCTACAAATGGTACCAGGCATGGCAAAGATGGCGAGGGTGGCAAACAGGGCGGAGAAGATGAAGACGGCGAAGACAATGAAGAAGGTAAAGATGAGGATGATGAGGACGGCGATAACAAGGAGGGTGATGAGGGTGGTGAGAGTGGTGATAGTGAGGAAGGTGAGGAGGGTCACAAGGGTCACAAGGGTCCACACGGAGGCCAACACGGTCAGGAAGACCAACACGGTCAGGAAGGACATGATAATAATGGCCAAGCCGCTAAACGAGGGGGAGGTAAGTGAGGACTGCACAATGGGGACAGATCCACTCGGGAAACCGTTTTGGACAAGCTGCTTTGACCGATGGAGATATCTTGAAGTAATGAGAAGGTCAATAATTTGCAGGGACTGGTCCTTGCCATTTTTCAAATGCTTGCGTTGGTTTCTCTTTTGTGTTTTGACTGTTCTATTAATTTCTTGTAGCCAAATGCCGAATCACCTTTTCTCTATATCTAGATATCTAAGGTTGGTCTATTTACAGTAACGCTCCATAAGCTCGAAGTCCAGTAAAACCAGATAGCAAACAACAACAATTCCACGAATTAAAGTGAAGCCCTTGTGGCAGCAAACTCCGACTTGGGAGGCCATTTTACACGCCGTTCGGCGCGCACGTACAAGTTATTAGGCCGGATCAGTTGGAACATAGGGTCGTACTCAATCGGCCCATCGTTCTCCTTTATGAACTTGTAACGGTATACTAGCTTCGGCAAAAATACCTTGACTTCTTGTAGCGCAAAGTTGAAGCCAATGCACATACGTGGACCAGTAGCAAAGGGGATATAGGCGGCTTTGTGTCGGTTCTTGACCTCTTCTGTGTCCCATCGGTCAGGGTCGAATCGGGCTGGGTTGCTCCAGACTTCTGGGTTATTGTGAAGGTGGTGAAGAGCACCGACTACCACAGATTCCTCAGGTAGCTTGTAACCCCCAGGTAAGATCATGTCAACCTTCGCGGTCCGTGCGGGCTGATAAGATGGGTTATGGCGACGTTGAGTTTCTTTGATCACTTTATCCATGAATGTTAACCGGTCGGTCAAGTCTGCTGTTATCTGGGTATCTTCGGTAATATCGTTGTCGATCAGCTCTTGCAGTAAGCGGTCCTGAACACCTGGGTACGTAACAAGACTGTATATCAACCAAGACAATAATGAGCTAGTGGTAGTAAAACCAGCCCCGGTCGCGACAACCAAGGACTGGATCAGGCTTGTTTTGGGCAACTTTTCACCCTTGTTGTCGGTGGCTCGAACGGCATAGTCTACTTCAGTCAGTGACTACTCAGACACAAACCATTGCCACACTCACCGATCATGTTAGAGGCCTTCAGGGCAGCGTCTTGAAGGGGAAGATCTTCGACTCCACCACGACTGGCATTCTGGATCGACTGGTCCACGATGTCGAAAATACGATAGCGCATGTTTCTCAACCGCTGCGGATCGCCAAACGGCAGTTTCGCATACCAATCACCCCTTGCGGTTACCTTCTTATTCAAAGACAGTGACTCCGCGATGATCTGAATGAGTTCGTGAGGAGGTGCATCAGGAGAGGAGAAATGATTGAAATCAATGCCGAGCACAAGCTTTCCAACCGCTTGAGATCCAAGTTTAAGCATATATTGGTAGACGTTCCAAGCCTCGCCGTTCTCATCAAAATGATCGAATACTTTGAACGCATCTTCAACTGTCTGTTGCATTGTAGGGGCATAATGTCGAACAGCCTTGGGGCCCAATGCTGGGGGAAGGAACTTATGTGCCGCTCTCCACTCCGGAGTGTCAGTATCCCCTAGGAACACACCGGCTTGTTGGTTCTTAATCGCATGAAGCGGGTGAGCTTCGTTGATCTTCTTGGTGAAGAAATCGGTTTCTGAAAAAATGATAGATGACAATTGTGGATCGTTGGTTTGGTAGACCGTACGTCCCATGTTCGTTGTCTTGATTATAGGTCCATACTGTTCAAACAAGCGCTGATGGTTTCCTAGGTGGTCGGGATAGATTTCGAAGAAATTGCCAACGATTGGAAGTCCTTTAGGACCGGGAATCTCTCGCACAGGTTTACCATCAATCGTAATGCTAATGGGATCCTCGTTTGCAAGGACCTCCGCGACATCGGATAAGATCGCATCCTGGGACTGGAATCCGATTCCTATAACGATCAGCTAAAGTCCAAATGCAAGCGTTCCTGTTCTCCTTTCCCTCTTAGGTATACTCGATAAACGTACCGTTCGGTTCCACTATAGCGAAGTGTGCAGCAATGAGGTGCCTGAGCCCATCGTAGTCTAGTGTGGCTTCCAGTTCAATTTCTCTCGCAGTAGAGCTAGGCTCCCCTGAAAGGTAGAAGAGTTTGATAGACATTTTGTTCAAGCCTAGGCAAATTTCTCATAGGGTCAATTGGTCGATAGGAAATCAATCTCGACCTCTGATGCTAAGGACCAAGGTACTAATTTATAGTACCATGAATGGCCAAAGCTAGGGCAAGAGGCCGTTTCAGCGCTAATCCACATTGTCCGATTCCACATTACGTTGGACTGATATGAATCGGTTCACAGTAATGAAATGCACATTAAGATTTGTGCTCCCTGCAAGATAAAAATGCCTCGATGCCTGCCTCGGCACGATATCGCTGTCGGCATCGCAATCTCAGAGCCAAACCTAACCAGCGAGAGACAGAGATCGTCGCCCTAGACCCACCGGTATCCATTTTAAGGCATTGGGTCTTAACATAAAGGGGAAAGCTTTGCAATGGCAATGTCGGCCACGACTTCCACGTATGTTACAGAATTCGGCCATGTCGTGCCGAATACCCATCGGGCCGTTTTTAATTTATGTCAATCTCGGAGGAGAAGATGCCGACTTGAGTGAGACGCCCCGACTGGATAATGTATATACAATATGCCGGTGGGTACTATATTTATGTTGACTTTTTATGTCTCACGCTACTAGCTCTACTCCGTGGCGGTTCCAACATAATAATAAACCACGAACTCGCCTATCCAGTCCAAATATCCAGTCGTACTTCCCTTCTATGCTACAACTAATTATCATTCCCATACAACACAACGATCAGTCGAAATAATGGAGGCAAAGGCCGAAAATCCTGTGGAGGTTCAGCTTCCTGAGTACACAGCCGCTGAGGTCGCATCGCATAACCACAAAGATGATATCTGGATCATTGTTCATGGCAAAGGTAAGACTCCAACTATCAGGTTAGACTCAACAGGACTAAGGCAGAATAGTTTTCGATATCACAAACTATCTCCAAGATCATCCTGGTGGCGCAGAGATCCTCATAGAAACTGCGGGCACAGATGCCACGGAAGCATTTGAAGACGTTGGCCATTCCGAGGACTCGGTAGAGATCATGCAGGAATTCCTAATCGGCACTCTAGAAGGTGCTAAAGAATACGTCCCACCCAAGAAGGTCCAACTAGTTGCTCAGAAGCCGGAGACCGTTCCTCAATCATCTAGGAGCCGCCCGGTGGGAACAATTGCTGGTGTGCTGGGAGCATTGGCATCCGTACTTTATGTCTATCAACGGAGTACTTTTGGTTCCCTGGTTCCAAAGAATGAGATTAGCCAACTCATTCCTCAATATTTCAACGGAATCAGAATGCCTCGCGGAGGGTTCACCAATGGTTTCCTTACGGCTGCAGCCATCTCTGCGATAGTTGGCACAGCTGTGGCCCGTCAAGCAGCCAAATTTACCAAGATCGACTCGGGCTTCTTGCGCTACCCTCCACATATCAAATCCCGAAAGGTAATGAAAGCTGACCTGCACTTGGCTAAAGGATTTCTGGATGCCAAAGAATTCAAGAGCTTGCCTTTGGTTGAAAAGGATCAACTATCTCCCAACGTCTATCGATTCGTCTTCGCTTTGCCCAATTCTAAGGGAGTCATTGGACTTCCTATCGGACAACACGTAGCTATCCGCGCACTTGTTGATGGTACGACGGTATCTCGGTCTTACACCCCAGTGTCAAACAACTTGGACCTCGGTCGCTTGGAGCTAGTCGTCAAGTGTTACCCTGAAGGTCTGCTCACTGGTCAGTACCTCGCCAACTTAAACGTGGGAGATGAAGTTGAGTTCCGGGGTCCCAAGGGAGCGATGCGTTACAGCAAGGGGCTCTGCACCAAGCTCGGCATGGTCGCTGGAGGAACAGGTATCACACCTATGTATCAACTCATCCGTGCCATCTGTGAGGATGAGCGGGACACGACTGAGATCAGCTTGATCTACGCCAACCGGACGGAGGCAGACATCTTGTTGAGGAAAGAACTAGAGGCTTTTGCGCGCAAGTATCCCAAGAACTTCAAGCTTTGGTATATGCTGGATAGTGCTCCAGATGGTTGGGCCTATGGAACTGGCTTTGTGAACCAGGAAGTCCTTAGCCAACAATTACCGGGCCCATCCGAGGATACTAAAGTCCTCTTGTGTGGGCCTCCCGGTATGGTCAACGCGACCAAGAAGACGTTGGCGGCCATGGGCTTCCAAAAGGCGGGAGCGGTGTCGAAGATGAGCGACCAGATTTTCTGTTTCTAATTATTATCCCTATTTTGACTTTCTCTTTACGTTCCCTCTCTCTCCATCCCTCCCTGTGAACTTGGGTTTCTATGGGCGGTTTTAATGTATATAGACTGTAATATCCATCAGTATATTGCTTGAGAGGTATTTATCTTTCTCTGACATCCAGGCATCAACGAAAAAGGAAATGGCTGTCCGAAACCTTGAGCCTTGTCTCATGGCTTAGATATGTGGTACCCACCAGAAGGCTTTCGAGTTGACAGGACCGGCGTATCATGGCCCCCTAGTTTCTCTCAGGCCATGTTGTGGTGGAGACCTCGTAGTGAATAGCTTGACAGCAAATGACAAGCATTGTGGACGCGTTGAGTCTTAACTTGAATAGGGTTAGTTACAGCACGGGATGAGCGGTTTGGTCTGTTTGGTTGGTTTGGACCAATCACCGGGTTGTCAATGCCGTAGCCGTCTCTTAGGTCAGCAGACCCACCACGCACTTCGGCGTGTTGGTCTGCCTCACCTCAACGATAATTCCCACCTCAACGATAAATTTG